ACCTGCTTCATGGTATTCCGATCCCGCAGAGTCACCGTATGCGGCTCCTTTAGAGTGTCAAAGTCCACGGTGATGCCGTAGGGAATGGCAATCTCATCCGTGCGGGCATAACGCCTGCCAATGGAGCCGCTGGAGTCGTCCACCTTGTGCGAAAGTTCCGCCTTGGTGAGGGCCGATGAAAGTTTCTGAGTATAAGGCTGGAAGTCGGTGTTGTTGGACAGCGGGAGGATGGAGCACTTGATGGGCGCCACCAGCGGGGGCAGGGTGAAGTAGCATCTCTGCTCGTCGCCGTCGCGGCACTGGAAACTGTGCTCCAGCAAGGAGTACATGATGCGTCCAATGCCGAATGAGGGCTCAACCACACTCGGGATAAACTCCTCCACATGGACCGTTTTCGAAGAGTGCTTCACGCTAATGGAGTCCTTGCCGAGTTCATGGCTTTGGCCATCTGCAGTGGTCAGTTTATATTGACCATCGCCAGCTAGCTGTTGCTCCACCTTGGTAATCTCCTCCAGGGAAAGCTTGGCCAAGGCATCAGTGATATTCTTGGCCTCCTTTTTGAAGGTCTTGCCCAAGGCCTGCTTGTTCGGCACAATTTCGCTCACCTCCACGGTCTTGGGAGCCGGCAGACGCTTCTCAGCCACCAATCGCACACCAGTGGCCGCCGTATGCTGCCCCAAATCATAGGCACTCCGATCGGCGCATCCCACGCACTCCACCCAGCCGTAGGAAGTTAGGATCTCGGCATCCCAGCAATCGCAGGCGTAGTGAGCCATCTCGTTGGACATGTGCTGGCGGAATCGCAAGCACTCTGCTTTGATGCCGATGGCCAACAGGAACTGCTGGATGCGGGCCATGTAATAGCCAAGGGTTTCGTTTGCCACCAGCTTAGTGGCCACTGCCTCTCCGATTTCCACCTGAGAGGCAGACTTTCCATCCATCTGGTTGCAGGCGGAGTAAAGAGTCAGTTTCTCCGATTTGATATTGCCAAATTTGGGATGGTCCTTGAGCACGGGATCGCAAAAGTGTTCAATCTCCGCCATGGTAAACTCTCGCACACGAATCAAGCCCGATCTGGGTGAGATTTCGTTACGGAACGAGTTGCCAATCTGCGCTACGGCGAAGGGCAGCTTGCCCTGGTTGAATTCAAGCAGGCGCTTGAAGTTCACGAAGATGCCCTGGGCAGTTTCTGGTCGCAGGAAACCCTTGACTAAGCCAGTGGGTCCGATTTGCGTGGCAAACATCAGGTTGAATTCAATGGGTTCCGTCAAATCGTTGCCGGTCAGGGGGGATTTGATGTTGTATTTGGCCAGAACATCGGCCAGTTCCTGTTTGTTCAGGCCATCCAGCTTGATGATGATGTCCTCGCACTCGGCCTGCAGGGCAGGAGTGGCCTCCTTGGCCTTGGACAGCTTCTCCAGAGCCTGCTTGATGAGGTGATCCAGGCGGAAGCACTCGCCCGTCTTGACATCTTTGACCATCAGGTCGGCAAAGCGCTCCACATGACCAGAGGCCTTCAGCACAGGTTCTGGGGTCAAAATAGAGCAATCAACCTCCAGCATTTGCTCTTCGAGCGCGAAATACTGACGCCACAGGGCCAGTATGTTGGACTTAAGGGCGCAGCCCATGGGGCCAAAGTCGTACTGCCCGGTGATGCCGCCATAAATGGCAAAACTTTGGTCGTAGAAGAAGCGGCGCTTCAAGAGATCCTCCATCTTCGCGCGATCGAAGCTAACGACACTGGGGGTCAGAGCGAGCTCCTTGTCCTCCAGCAACTTCTTGCGGGCCTTCAGCTCGGCAACAGCTTTCTTAACATCCAGTTCGGGGGCTCCCTTGGCCTTAAGATCCCGCACCAGGTTTCCCTGCTCCTGAACCCGCTCTCTCAAAGGAGCCAGTTGGGCCTCGATTTCCGGATTCGACATGATGAACTCGGCAGCTGCGGATCTGAGTTTGACCTTTCTGTTCTGCTTATTGGCGCCCCAACTGGGTGGTGAGGGATGCGGTTGGGAGGGTGGTGGTGCTGCGGCGGTTGTCTTTGTGGTGGTACCAAAAAACACTTTCGTGGCAATGTGCTCGCTGCTCCACGTTGTTCTCGCAATCTGAGTTCTCAGAGTTAATGTGGCGCTGCGCAGGTGGGGTAGCGCTTTTAACAACTGCAATGACATAAAGACGGTTGTATTTTCTTAGCTGCAAAACGCAAATTTATGTAATAAACCGTCCAATTGGCCACTGTTGAAATACCTTCACTTGCGCTGCAATTCCGTCGGTTGATGAGTGTTCGGCGGCCGGCATTCAACACTGCATTTGCAGACGATGTCCAACACTGATTACGGTTAACAGAGCGGTTTTGGGATGAGCACTGTTATGAGTTGTGACAGTAGTCTAAAAATGTGACAAGGAATATTTTATTTATTTAACTTATTCAAATTGGGCTTACAATAATAAAAACTACGGATCAATTATTATTTAAATAAGATTTCAAACTATATAAATTTAAATCTATTTATGATTAAAACTAGAAGAAATTCTACAGTCGAGTGCCTCGTCTTTTAAAAATTGTTTACAAAATAAAAATAAATATGGCCCCAACAATTTTACGACAATCTTTGGTGGCCCATCTGCCCCTCAAGCTGATAGGGATCTATCTGCACGCTAAATCCCAAATCTTCGGCTTTATAATTTTAAAGATATCGACGTCCATACGGGCGGGCAGACAACGGACACAGCAAGATTGACTGGAGTATTGATCCTGATCATACTCATAAAACTCATATACTTAATGGGTAAAGAAAGGGTTCCTTTTTACCGTTATATACTTTTAAACGAGTTCAATGTACCCTATAATAAAAATGTGCTAAAGTGGATTCTTGGGAAATTTTTAAGCCTTGTTGCAATAATTTAAAGAATCCTGTCTTGAATTTGATCTTAGCAGCACTTTTTGTGCGTTAACGTTTTATAAAATCGCCCATTGCCAGTTTTAGTTGCATTGATATTTGACAAAAAAAAATGCTAACCCAACATTAGCACCTTTGTTTGTAAAATAAGTGAGGTTATTAGATTCACTGCAAGTGTTCTTGTTTGAGCAAATGTATTTTATGATAGATAATTAGGGCTTAAGGAACTAAACGACGGAATCGCTAATAATTCAACATCATTTTTTAGACCGCGTAACTTAATTATTTTTCAATTTCGGTGACGTAAATTTTTTTTTTGGGTTATCACTGTTTAAATCTATAACTATTTAACATTGTTGTATTAATTTAAAAGAAAGCATTGCTTGCTGCCATGACTTTTTAATCTTAGCAGCTAGAATGCTACATTTTTTAAATAGGTCCAACCATGAATTCTTACAGAGTTATAATTGAAATTCATTTCGTTTTGAATGTACCGTTTAACGTTTAATAAATATTCAGAATACGGGGCTCTCAAAGATAAATTATGGAGTATTAACTATTCAAACCAATGCTTTTTAGGGTGGGAATTTTTTTTGCCATATGAATAGTTCTACTCTACAGGGTCCGGCACTCGAAGTGTAACCATTTAAAAAAGCCATAAATTTAGTTTGGAAAATTACTTTTACTCAATTCAAAGTACAAAATGTGTAAAAATAATAAAAAATTCAGAAACAATTCACTTTTGCTCGATATGACCACCTTTTGCCTTGACTATGGCCTTGAGACGGTCCAAAAACGAATCGCAAGCTGCCCGAATGTGACTAGCAGGTATTTTGGCCCACTCGCGGACAACGGCTTTTTTAAGCGCCTCGAGACTGGTGTATCTTTTAGTGCGGACTTTGCTCTCCAAAATGGCCCAAAGAGAATAATCCATCGGATTTGCGTCTGGTGAATTCGAGAGCTATTGTGTGGACGTTATGAAGTTTGGAACGTTGTTTTCCAGCCATTCTTGGTTCAATCGAGCTTTGTGAGATGGTGCCGAGTCCTGTTGAAACGTCCATGGTCTGTCACCGAAATGTTTGTCTGCCCACGGCTTCAAAGCAACTTTCAGAATACTTTCGCGATAATATTGCGCATTTACCTTGACGCCAGGCTCGATAAAAATGATTGGAGAGCGCCCATCTGCGGTTACTGCGGCCCAAACCATTATCTGTGGCGGGTTCTCGCATGAACGATCCGTCAAATTAACTCTATCGTTTTGAGAGTTTACGAATTGCTGCTCAATTGTAAAAATGTTCTTGTCAGAAAACACAATGTTCGGAAGTTGACCACTTTCGGCCAAGCGAAGCAACTCCTTCGCTCTCTCAAGTCTGACTTGTCGCTGCTTCGATGTAAGATCGTGCGCCTTTTGGATCTTGTAAGGCTTGACCTTGAGGTCATTTTTCAGTATTCGGCGGATGCTACGGTCGGATATTTTCAGTTCTTTTGCCATTTGATTGGCACTTCGTCGGGGATTTCGCTCAAGTCGCTTCTTTACTTTTTGAACCATCTCACGTGACGTTGCAGTCTTTTGATGACCACCTCCATGACGTTTTGCAATGCTACCAGTATCATTGTAACGAGTTATGGTGCGATAAACGAAAACTTTATTCACTTTAAGAAGCTTAAGCTCACGAACAATCGATGGCTGTGATTTTCCAGCTAAATGTAATGCAATCACACTATTACGTTTGAAATCCATTGCTGATATTTTTTTTCTCGTTTACTATCAGCCAAATGCTTTCGTGCACTTGTAAACAATACAGCAGATTCCCGTGCGTCAGCTGCACGAGCGGTCTGAAGTTGGTTACACTTCGAGTGCCGGACCCTGTAGTTTTAATCCGGCGTCATACAAAACGACATGCAAACTCAGTTAACGATGTACAAATGAAAAGGGAGTTCTGTGTTGGAAGTTATGTCCCGCCGATTGATTTATCAAACCGTCCATCTCTAATGTGTTTTTTAACATTTCTGTTTCAAAAAGATGTATTTTGACATTTAGTGTTGGAAAACATCGATAGTACGATGCTTTGAAAACATCGATGGCATCGATGCTTGCCCCGATATTCCACCTCTAGCTTTAATTATGTAGGCGCAGCATTGCAATCTGTTTTCTTGCGTGTTTTCCGTATAATTTGCTCAATTTTTGGTTTAGTTAAGCCGAACTCAAATGCTGCACACCCAAATTGCTCAACCGCGCAGCATACAAAGTGAAAAACAAGCAGTTAAAGTGGAAAATAGGAAGAGTTTTGTTGTTTTTTTCTGTAAGAGGACGCGGCGATGCAACAACAGCGACGCTATGCGACCGCATTTTGAGCGATAAAACGAAAAGGTTGGCTCCTCTTACCTATTTCTCTCGACTGAGTAACTATTATTCATTTTAACTGACAATTTGCTAAAATCTTTATTGCAAACAATTAAAAATTAACCCATTCACAGGTGCTGCCACACATAACGGTTCTTGTTTGTTTTTACGACGGCACACAAAAGCAGCAGCAATAACAACAAAGGTCTCCGTTGGTGAGTTAAAAGTTTTTTTGTTTAACCGTTTTCCGTTCTTGACCTGTTTTTCATTGTTGTTTTTGTGTGGGCCAATTTTTCCAATCGATCAATTTGTCTAAATTATGCATTATAATTTATTTGTAGTTTAAAGTGTAGTTGTTTTGTACGTTCATGCGTGTGTGCACCATTTGTACCATTAAATATGCACAGTGGAGGCTCTTTAATTAGAAACCATCCCCCACAGTGGAAAATAATTAATATGCGAAGAAACCAGTTTGGTTCCTCTCAGCGAGCAGCCACTGTAGGCGCACTTATTTTTACGACTTTTGCACGTTTGATATTAACTCATCGCCGTCTATGAAGGCCAAGCTCAAGACTGTACAAAAAAAAGTTATAAAAACACACACCGAAAAACAAATAACACCTCATCGAGCTTCTCTATGTTTGGGTTAATGTTCTGGCCATTTTTTGGAGAGGGTTCGCTTCATGGTTTACAGTGGTTGTGGTGTGTGACAAAACGCGTGGAAATCGGAAACAAACAAAAACTAAGTCTGTACATTTCAACAACAAAGCATAATAAATCTAATAAACTAGTGCACGTCCCTAATACAAAAATCTAACTCTAAATTAAACTTATTTTCGGGTATTCAACAGTTCTGATACAGGCTTATCACATGTAAATCTAATTTACTGGATTTTGTTCAGTTTGGAATCCTAAATTAAACAAAATATTCATTTTGATCGTAGACGACATAATGTATGTTAAAAGCTCTATGAATTTCAGAACATATTTGTATGTATTTTAAATACAGTTAAACTTTTAAAGTAAAATTGATCTAAATGTACAAAATATCAACAAACAAAAACACTTAAAATTTACCTTATCACATTTTGATTATATTAATTATAGTTACTTTCTGTGATGCCCCAAAAATATCAACAGTTTTACTTTTTGCCATTAGTCGTTTGATAATTCCCAAATAGGTAATTTTTTCGACAACTAAGGTATTTTCAAAAAATATAGAGGTTTCCCCTTTTATTAGAGCTATTAAATACCCAAAAATAAATCCATAAATTACATAAAAATTAAATCAGCTTAGGATCCGACTGATTAAAGACTACTTGTCTTTTTTAGGATCCTTCGAATAATCAAAATCCGCACCAACAACCCACCAACGAAGCCGACGAACCCAACCAACTGGCGATGCAATTGAAAGCGCCCAAGAGCAGAAATATGGCCAGTCTTAAAGATGAGGAACATGCGGCAACCACAAGCAACTCCACGAACAACCTCAACAACAACAACAACAACAACAACAATAACAATAGTAATAATATAAACAATAACCACAGCAGCAGTAGCAACAACAATAAAAACGAGGATGATCCTAAGGTTAGGAAGGAAAACCTGGAGGCCAGGAAACAGGCTTTGGAGCAGCGTCTGAGCGAAAAGAGCTGGCTGTTGCAGCAAATCCAGAAACAAGAGACGGCCATTATCAATGGAAATTACGAACAAATGACAGTCAATGAATTTTTTGTTCAACTAGCCCAACAGTACAAACATGAACAGCAGCTGCAGGCTTTGGCCAGGGAAAATAGCTCAATTTTGAGGAGGAAACAAAGCACAACGAGCCGGGAAAGTCGAGAAAGCCAGATGACCAACAGCAATAACAATCGCCAGTCGGAAACGCTGTCAAATCGCAGTTCCGAATATGACAATTTCCAGCCCTCTTCATCGTCTGGGGCGGGTGATATGCTGGTGATAGGTGTGGCCCAGCAGCAGGCGCAACAACAACCGCCGCTGGTGAAGAGCGCCCTGAAAAAGCGACCCACTCCCACGCCCAGTCAAATGCAATATATGCGCCAGCAGCATCAGCAGCAAGCGCATCTGGTGATGAACATGAACTACCAGAGATCACAGCCGGATGTCATATCCATGTACTCAGCGAACTCCTCGAATGTGGCTACATTAAGGCAACCGCCACAAGTGGCTCCCCAGCAGCAGCCAATTATAGTTCAGTGCGATAAATATTACTTATCGCCCACACATCAAAGTTACAATGAGGGCGGATTCATTAAATCAAGTCAGAACATCAAGAAGTATGTTTCCCCACTGGCTTCGCCCAGCAATCTCAGCTACGAGCAGCAGCAGCAGCGAAATCCTTTGCATCATCAGCGCCAACTAGATGCAATATCCTTAGCGCCCAGTTATGTGTCTGTGGATATGGAAGCTGCTCAGCATCAGCAACAATATCGCTGGCGTTCCCAGTCACATATAGCTCCATTAACGCCCCCTCAATTAGGTATAATAGAGGTGAAATCGCACTCCAGCGATATGCTGGCGGTGCCTATGCCACCTAGTCGCTATGCGCCGCATGATGAGATCTCTTTGTCATCCTCCTCCACCACCATTGAAAAGAAACCGAAACCCAAGCAGTGGCTAGAATCATCGCTAGATGGACCAGCTGTAATAAGGCAGATGGATTCACAGCCGCACAGTCCAGCTGGCAGCAGTAATGGAAGTAGTAATCCAGGAGCAGCTGCCATGGTATCGAGTAAACCCCGAGCCAAGCTCTCTTCCCAGTCCATGTCGGTATCGGGTTGTCACTATTCCATGTCTAACCAGCGCCCTACGCAAAACTATCCTAGTGCCAGCTATGCGGTGAACACTAGCTCTAAAGCATTGTTAAGTCAATCGACATCGTACCTCAATGCCATGGAGCAAACATTGGGGATTTCGGTGTCATATCCGCTGGAACCTCTGGACATACCAGCACTTCGAAATTTACCCCCTAAACCAAGTCAAATGCAGCAGCCTACACCGCCGCCCAGACCTCCACCTGCACATCAGGGTCAAAACCAGAACCTAAATCACAGTGGAAGTTGTATTACAAGTGGACTTGGCCATGGCAGCGCGATTCAAACAGCTTTGGTTTCTCCACCGTTAACCGTGGCCACAGCCAGTCTATCTCCGGAAATTCGCATCGAGTCGCCGAAGAACATGACCGTAGTCCAGCAGGCCACTTTTCAGCCGTACAAAGAAGTTACAAAACCCTTCGAGATGTCCGATTTCTACAAATACTCCACGAAGTTTAAACAAAAGGATGGCGGCAATCCAAATTGACCTGAAAGTTTTTACGGGATTTACAATTATTTCTCCCTTTTTATGTGATTAACTAAAATAATTTTGTAGCAAAGAGAAGCTACAAAGCAAAATAAGCTCAAATTGTTAGAAACCTATCGAATTTCAAGTTCGTTAGCTCAATTTTTTAGGACCAAGGACAAACTGAATATTAATTTAACACAAAAATGCTCAGACGATCTGCCAAATTATATACAGACTTATGAAAAGGAATGGAGTGACATTTAAATTTGTATTGAATATACAAAAAAAACCAGGACAATATTATCCCTTAAGGGAACAGAAATCGCCTTAAGACAGGACGCCTTGAAAATATGAACATATTTTATAAAATAAAAAGCGTTTACAAAAGAATAACTGACTAGCAATTGTTGAACCGTGTATTAAAGTATATACATATTTACACTAATAGATTAATATTTTTGTATTTTTTTACAGATTAGATATTCACAGAGTTCTTTAAGACTAACTATTGACAAGCAATAACAAATATATGTAAATAAATAGTTTATATTAAAATGTACAAGATTTCGTTTTTATTGAATATGAAAAACTCCCCGACAAATTGGAATAAAAAGAAAGTTTTCCTCGCCTATGAATAAATGCTCATTAATATGCTGACACTTCCTTAAATCATTCCCTATCAAATAACGTTTTTAAATCCGAATCTCTGCTTAAAACTTAATTATAGAACAGGCGATAAAACTTAATTATTTCCTCCTGTTTCTTCTCTCAGATTTCTCTTTGTTTCTCGCGATATGGGAACCACAATGATTTCTCTTTTTCTCTGTTCGACTCTCCCTAATTCGATTCCAATGCAACAGTTTTTGTTTACGATTGATTATTTTTAAACAATCTCGTGTTGTGCTTCACTGAGCGTTACAGTGTTTGAAAGGGGAGAAAAAGAGAGGGTTTATCCCCCGATACCCAAAAATAAAAGACTCTTCGCATTGGATTTGGTTCTCAGTTGCATCGCGTTCGCGATTACGTGCAACTGTTTCAGATCCGTTGCACTATTGTTTTTTGGTTTAATCTTTTTTGTTCGTATTCTAAATTAATTTTCTCCGTCGAGGAGTTCTAAAAAATATTATAATGTTCGGTTAAAAGTCACGGTTTAAGTAGCTAGTGTCCCCCTCATCGTGTTGTCTAAGTATAATTCGAAAAGTCTTAAAATTTTACGTAAATTTTCCAACATAACCTAAAAATTTATTCGGTGTTGTATGTGCGTCTGTGTTTATAAGCAAATCAAGCAGAGAAAATAAAGAAATATCGTGTCATCAAAATCCGAACGTAAACATCAACAAGAAAATGGATCGCGTATGGCCCGCATCTAGACCGTATAGAAATCTGCACAACTGACAGGCGCAAGTGTCAACAAAGGCGGTCAAGAAGCCAGGGAATAGGCCATTAATTATTTGGTTCAAGTGCAGTCACCATGAATCTGTACACTCTATACGATTGGGTAAGGCAAACAAGCACGGGAATCCATTAAAGTATTAACCCATTTAAGAGCCCAGAACATCCATCATTTTTAGTCGGGGAATGTACCATACGAGATCCACAAAAAGTGGGAAGAGTATGCAATGAAATGTATTTATGTAAATATACAATCCACAAACAGATTGTGTTGGGTTTCAAGTGTGTTTACAAATGAAATCGAAATTGAATGCGCCTTTGAACTTTTGAATAGATGACCACAAGGCCCTTTGGAACATTTCATTCAAACTACAGTGGAAACCAATTGTTGGCAGACCAACAAATAGTATAAATTTAAATAATTGTTTTTCCTATCTTGTTATGTATTTAATATATTTCAATATCTTAAATACTCTTTTAAAATTGTGTTTCTTAAAAGTTGACAATGTTTCTTACGGCCCGTTTTTATACCCTTGCAGAGGGTATTATAATTTTGGTCAAAAGTGTGCAACGCAGTGAAGGAGACATCTCCGACCCTATAAAGTATATATATTCTTGATCAGGATCACCTCCTGAGTTGATATAGCCATGTCCGTCTGTCCGTCTGTCCGTCTGTCCGTCTGTCTGTTTCTACGCAAACTAGTCTCTCAGTTTTAAAGCTATCGGATTGAAACTTTGCACACACCCTTCTTTCCTTTGCACGCAGTATATAAGTCGGAACGGCCGGGATCGCCGACTATATCCTATAGCTGCCATATAACTGATTGATCGGAAATGCCATAACTTTCGTGTTTGTAAAGTTAGGAAGTTGGGATTTTCTATGGGTTTTATATTTGGCCAATCAATCCGACCTACCAAATTTCATAAGGATCGGCCGACTATATCCTATAGCTGCCATATAACTGATTGATCGGAAATGCCATAACTTTGGTGTTTGTAAAGTTAGAAAGTTGGGATTTTCTATGGGTTTTATATTTGGCCAATCAATCCGACCTACCAAATTTCATAAGGATCGGCCGACTATATCCTATAGCTGCCATATAACTGATTGATCGGAAATGTCAAATTTCATAAGGATCGGCCGACTATATCCTATAGCTGCCATATAACTGATTGATCGGAAATGCCATAACTTTGGTGTTTGTAAAGTTAGAAAGTTGGGATTTTCTATGGGTTTTATATTTGGCCAATCAATCCGACCTACCAAATTTCATAAGGATCGGCCGACTATATCCTATAGCTGCCATATAACTGATTGATCGGAAATGCCATAACTTTGGTGTTTGTAAAGTTAGGAAGTTGGAATTTTCTATGGGTTTTATTTTGGCCCAATCAATTCGACATATTAAATTTCATAAGGATCGGCCGACTATATCCTATAGCTGCCATATAACTGATTGATCGGAAATGAAATAACTTTGGTGTTTTTAAAGTTAGGAAGGTGGGATTTTTTATGAGTATTAAAAATGCATCATATGAATAATTTTGGAGAATATAATTTGCAGAATATTCTGCAAGGGTATTTCAACTTCGGCTCCGCCCGAAGTTAGCTTTCCTTTCTTGTTTCGTTTTCAAGTAACTGTAAATATTTTTAGAAAATTTGGTTTTAGGTTGAAATATGTATATATGTATATATATATGTATATATTATAACAAATTTAATATATTATATATATATTCTAATATGTAATTTTTATCATACCAGCAAATTTTATCATAATAGCAAATTTTCAAAAATATTTAATTGACTTAGGGTTTGAGAATCTGACGTTTCTTCAATATTTTTCTCAATGTTTTGTTTTTAGTTCCTGTAATTTTGGTAGTCTCAATTAAGCGTTATCAACTGTTTTGGGGATATTCCTTGCCTTATCAACATTGCACCATCGACATTCTAGCAACAAATGTTGCCCACACACACGGACACACACCAGCGTTTATGTTCCACATATAAATTTTGTTTATAAATAAAAAATGGGAGCGAACATTCGGTGCACGGAACCGCTTGGAACCGCGTTGCAAATTTCCGCGGCACTCGCTCTCACTCGTTCGCTCGAGCTCTCCGGGGCTGCTCTTTTCCAACGCTTTTCTTTTGATTTTCCTCAGATTGAGTGACTGATTTCAATTGAACGGGTCTTCTGGCGTTTTATTTATAAAAGAACTTGCACTGCAGGCGGTCGCGTCGCTCGTCTTTCGGTTGCCCACACACTTATAGCTCTGAAAAGATAAAAGTGCAGTGCCTTTGCCGTTGAAGTTGTTTAAGAAATTTGCATATACGTAGAACTTGGCACAATGTAACTCATAATAGGCATTGTCGATATATGGACTTTTTAAGTGACTGTAAATTGCATTTAATTGAGATAACTTCATCGCTGAATTGAATCGAATGAAAGGCGAGCATCGAAATGGGGAAATTGCATGTGAGTTATTGTCGGCAACGTGATCTTTAACATCTCCCGGTGACATTTGCATCATTCGACACCCAAAGTGTGTTAATATCATTCGAAACCGCTTGGTAATGAGCCACATTAGAGCTCGTTAGTGTAGTGCAGTTAATATGGAGAGGTGCCCTGGTATTATGAAGATCAAGTACATTGTTCAATTCTAGTTTTTAAAAATAGTGAAGCCTTAATGAAATGGTTCATAAATAATACTAATAATAATATTATCTAAAGCTACATTAAAAAGTGAACTATTTTTAAAAGCAACGGCTTAAAAACAAATCAATTGTTGTATTGTTATTTAAAAATGGTGGTATAAATAAATATTTAAAATTAGATACCTTTTTCTTTTTCTTTTCTCAAATATATATTAATTTTTTTTGTAAAGAAATAATATTCAACAAAATAATCAATCATTGAGTTAAATAACTTTTATTTTCAAGATTATTGGAACACCTTTACTGCAGAAAAGTTTCAGCTTGTAAAATGATATAACAATTTTTTTAAAACGCAAAAGAAAATCTACTCCCTTCCCTAATCTCAGTTTATTTTTATCCGACATATTTCATTGTCAACTTTTCGCCTGGCGAAGTCATTAATTTAATCATTTTCGCCAATATGCGTGCCATTATTGAAGGTTTATCGACAATATCTTATGAAAAATCAAAGGAAAGGCAGTAGCGCCATTAAATGAGACGTTGGGCTAGGTCCTGCGTCCCTTTCCTTCTGGGGGAGTGGCATTGTTGTTATTAGTCGCCGAAGTGCAAAAACCTCAGACGATCCAGCTGAAATGTGTGTCACACCCAAACAACGGCCCCAAATAGAGGACTAAACTATGGCAACAAATTGAAAATTTTGCAAGGAGGTGGGAAAACTTTCGTTTTCGCTTTTCCGTTCAACGGGGCACGCACACTCGAAGAAAATCGTTGTCATGGTTATGTTGGCAAACTTGTTATCCCGATACGCGTTTAAGGATACCGCTGGGCTGGGACTTCCTGCTTCGATTGTCTTTGGCCTGACAAGTTCAAGGACGTTCAAATTACCATGTGGCTGAGAATTGGAAAACTTTGGCACAAATATTTGCCACTAATATTCTGAAAACTTTATCAAGCGTTACGACCTGACCCACATGGTGTATAAGTAATGTAGAAAATGTTGTCTTTTGCAGATGTTCAATCACAGTAGTAATGCAAATTATTAAACCATGTAAACCGAATAACACCGCAAAAAATAATTATTTATCAAAAGTTTAAGCACATTTTTTTTTATCTTGTGCAAATAGATATAAAAAAGGGCTATATTAATGAGATTTTTGTATTACACATTAAATTGTATTCAAACTTTTACTTTACCCATAAAATTGACTTTGCATATAACAGACTTCTACTGTTGGATTCAAGCAAAAAGTTCAAAAAGTTTTTTATTCTATCGTTAAATGCATTGCCTTGGCATATGCCTATATATAATAGAATGCACGCGATCTAATTAGATCTCCAGCTGTGAAAAATGTAATTGGAAAATTCCTAAATATTTCCTCACTCATTTGGGAACGGATGCATGTGTGGCACACGTTTCAAACACCTTCCATCATATAGATCACTCGAGTGGACAGAGTCGTCTTTCTTAATTAATGTGGGCAAGTCCAAAAATAAATAATTCAAACATATGCAACTCCTCCGCGGAGTGAACTTTATTACCAAACATAAAGATGCCTCAAATGTTTCTAATTATAATTTAAAGGGAAACCAAGAACCGACACAGCTGCAATCCATCAAGGAATTGATGTTGGCAGTAGTCTTCCCTTCTCCAAAAGATAGCCACCGATCCACACTTGAGATGCAGGTCAATTTGAAATTGGATGTTGCTAAATAGATATCCATATCTTTCCTAGTATTTTAATCGCATTTGTTTACGTAATAAAGTCGCTTCCTAACACCTATCGCCCAAGTTTAGTGGGCCACAAAGACGGGCAACCCCGAAAAGAATTCTCACAATGCGTCTCGGACGTTGACAACTGGGTGACATCATTAAATCGAATCAAAATCTAGAATATAAATTTATGGCGGCAGACTCGTGTTGCCTCTAACTCAAGTGGCACGGCCTGGTGGCACAACAAGTGGGCCAACGAAAAATTAAAACTTGCTCTTGTTTTCATTTGTTGTTCAAACAAATCCGAATGCTCTCTGATTTTTGGGGGGTGAAATGTATTCAGACGAATGTCTAACTTAAATGGTATTATTTCTTAGGCAATAAATTATTTTTCCTATCAATCTTTTTTCATTATAGTAAATAAATCTATTTCACATAAATAATATGGTTATGGAATTGCTTAGGTTGTACTGCTAGTAGCAGATATTGCTATTGCATATAAAATGCTATTCAACGAAATGATTTTATTGTTATTCATCAAAGAAATAGGTCTGGGGAAACATGCATACAATTGCCATTAAAATTCCATTATTTACATTTCAGATCACATCATTGCTCCGGCCGCACAGTGCCAGTGTCAGCTACAAGGCGATCGAAGCGGCAGCGGTCGAAGAGTTGCCAGCAACATCAGTAGCAACAGCAACATCCCCAGCAGCAACATCAGTCCCAGCAGCAACATCAGTCCCAGCAACAACATCTCGTGCCACTGGAGCCAAAGCAACTTGTGTGGAAGTTGAGTTCATACCCTCGCTAAATATTATATTTGAGAAGCCGACTTCATCGAGTGAGCAACAGTCCCCCAAGAGTTTAAAGCATGCTGCTACAACTGTGCTTGATAAGGAACTTGCGGATGATTGCGACTCCGACAATGATTCCACGCGTACTTACATAATCTCGAGGAGCAGTTGGACAGAAGTGACATCGAGTAGTACGCCATATGCCGTTACCTCCACGGACACCGCCGAACTACTGAGGCGACAGAACAATCTCAGTCTCTCGGAGGAGGATCAGTCGGTGACGTCGTTTAGCATTGAACAACCCACCAGTTCCATGACCATTGACATGGCCGAGCTGCAGACAACAACCACCACAACGACGGCAACAACGACGAGCAGTGCCGATGTTGTGGCAACAAACGCAACGACAACGACCACAACTAGCAGTAGCATTGAGGAGGATATCGAGGAAGCCATCGAGATCAGTGAGGTGGAGGAGCAGCTGAATTCCCCGCTGGAATCTCTATCGGAAGCAGCTGCCTATGCCCGACCAAAAGGGCAGGAATTAAGTGCCAAAAGTTTGAGCAGTGATCAGGATGATGATGAGGATGCGGTAGAGTTTCGCATCGATGATGCTCAGCTATCTGGTGGCCAATTGGCTCAGCATTTCCTGGTTGCCGATGAGGATGAAAGCGAAGAGGGTTCGGATCTACCAGCTGCCTCCAAAGTGGAGGTTAGTCTATCCTCAAATGATGATGACTTTGACATTAGTTTGCCTTTGGAGCAGAGGAAACCTGTACATTCCCTGCATGGGGATGAGGATTCAGTAGATCAGAGTTTGAGTAATCAGAGCACTACGGATGATGTTTCCGAGTTGGGTGAGGAACCAGTTCTGGGAAGGGAAGATAAGACTGAGGGTAGTGAGGCTATTAGTGCCAGTGCTCCTCAGGAAACTCATGTGGATGAAAGTCAAATAACTGAAGAGCAAGATCACTCAATGGAAGAGATCGTGGCAACAAATGAATCCATTGAAGTGACTTACGAAGCTGAAGAAACAGTCGATACTTCACAGAAAGTCGACCTTATCACGGACTTAGATGAAGAACAGGAGGATCAGGCTCAAGAGGTTATCAGGCCTACGTCTACATTGGAAACCCTGAAGCTACCTCCGGTCCAGGAACCTCAAATTATGGATCGCAAAGCAGCTAGAGCGTTGACCACTTTACGACTCCAACCAGAACCACTGGAACCTTTGGAATTGACTATTCTAGAAATGGATGAGAGTGACAATGACGATGATGAGGAGAGTTCCCTGCAACTGATGAAGCTGCGATTGATGGCCATGAATCAGCAGATGATTATTGATAATGCCCCCAAACTTTCGCCCACGGAAGCAGATCAAACACAAGTAACCAGCAGTTCCACCAATTCGGAACTTAAACAAATGGAACGAGTGCCTCTTACTGAATTCTCCAAGGATGTTTTGGAGGATATCACCGAAGAAAGCGAGAGAATGCTTTCCATGAGCACAACCATCGAAGAAGAGCAGGATCCTCCTTCTTTGTCACTGGATGAGTCGAAGACTCTCCTGCAGGCAGGAGCAAATAAAGCTGGAGGCAGTAGTTCCAGTTTGGTGAGCTTAAACATGCTAAAGCAACTGGAAGCCAAAGTGCAGGAACTGCACACCCAACTGGAGACCAAGGATAACTGCCTGACCTCGTTGAATCTGCAACTTGAGGCGGCCAGAAGGGAATCCAGTGCGGGTCCGGCCTCGGCTAGAGATTCTAGTTCCCTAATGACCAACTCCACGGAGTATCGCACTCTTCAGGAAGAATTAGGCGGCCCAGTAAGTGAATCTTCTATATATACAAATTGTGTACGTAAGATTATTTATTAAAACTCTTTCCCCACAGACTCTAGACATATACGTGGAGATGTCCCTAAGGGATGAGACGATTGCCAAACTTACAGATTCCCTTCAACAGTCGATGGTTGTCCGTAATAAGTTACAGACGGACTCAGATCGACTTGGGGGCGAAGTGCAGAATCTGCGTCGGCAACTTCAAGAGGCCATCGAGGCAGTGAAGCGATCGAGTGTTGGTTGGGCGGACCAGGAATGCAACCCGGGTCAGCGACTGTCTGAGATCTCCATGGATTTGATCAGCGAAAGCGATGATGATTTGGACCGCCATTTCCTCACGGACAACGAGGAGCGGGGATCGCGCAGCTCCAAGGAAAGACAGTTGCCTCAGTTCCAAACCAACGATGACTTGGGTATGCAGGCCATAAATCCAGATTGGACGCCGGCGTTCAGCAAGCAGATCGAGCAGTTCCACACCTACCTGGTGCCAGCGGAACAGCGGATCTTTCTCATGGTTCAGCGCAAGTTCGATGACTATTTGAACCAACAGATATCGTTGTGTCGAGATCTGGGCGCCCAGGAGCTGAAAATTGCCCGCGATCAGTGGGAGAGCGAGAAACAGAGCAGCGAACAGATCCAGCAAGCAGAACATACCAAGCAGATGGAGGAACTGCGCAAGTACTTCGAGCACAAGTGCGCCGATCTGGAGAAGCAGTTCTCCGATGATGTCTTCTCCCACAAGTCACAGCACCTGGCTGGGGACAGCTCTTCAGAGTGCTCCGAGATGGATCAGTTGCCTGAGGAGCCGGTGGCAGCGGCGTCGTCCAAGGAACCTTCTCCACGCAAACGGAAGCGAGCTGAGCTGCTGCTCAGTCCCAGTCACAGACAGATGACTCCTTGTGGGCTGGACTCCTTGGGGGAGACCACTGGAAAAGCTGGCAAAGATGTGAGTGAGATTTTAAGTTTTCTTTTTATACCCTTGCAGAGGGTATTATAATTTTGGTCAAAAGTGTGCAACGCAGTGAAGGAGGCATCTCCGACCCTATAAAGTATATATATTCTTGATCAGGATCACCTCCTGAGTTGATATAAGCATGTCCGTCTGTCTGTCCGTCTATCTGTCCGTCTGTCTGTCCGTCTGTCCGTCTGTCTATCCGTCTGTCTGTCTGTCCGTATGTCTGTTTCCACGCGAACTAGTCTCTCAGTTTTAAAGATATTGAATTGAAACTGCACACACCCTTCTTTCCTTTGCACGTAGTATATAAGTCGAAACGGCCGGGATCGGCGACTATATCCTATAGCTGCCATATAACTGATTGATCGGAAATGCCATATCTTTGGTGTTTGTAAAGTTAGGAAGTTGGGATTTTCTATGGGTTTTATATTTGGCCAATTAATCCGACCTACCAAATTTTATAGGGATTGGCTGACTATATCCTATAGCCGCCATATAACTGATTGATCGGAAAGGCCATAACTTTGGTGTTTGTTAAGTTAGGAAGTTGGGATTTTCTATGGATTTTATTTTCCGCTCCGCCCGAAGTTAGCTTTCCTTTCTTGTTTTTCATAAAATTACAAAATTAAAGCTATAAGCAATCTTAGATAAATGATTTAAATAATTTGTATGTTTATATTATAAACGACACGTTTTGGAAATTCAATTTATTTTTTTCTAATTTTATAATAATAGAGAGATAAAGAGACATAATAGGAAATATTTTTGACTAATAGGGTCAGTATATATATTCTTGATTATTAACAACCATTAGATCGATCTAGCCATGTCCGTCTGTCCTTCCGTCTGTCCATTCGTGTCTAAAATAGTCTCTCAGTTTTAAATCTGTTTATATTAAACTTCAGCAAGAGTCTTCATTCCTTTGCAGGTAGTATATACGTAAGGCGGCAAGAATTCGGACTGTTTCATATATGCATGCCGTCATAGAAATAATATACACGTATTCTATCTTTTACGATCGGAAAAATTGAACAAAAAATCATCTAACTTCATGGTTTTATAGAATAAAATATTTTGGTTAAAACTTAGTACACCGAAGTTTGAATTAGGTTTTAAAAAAATTATAATAAATTCGAAAAAGGCGTAAATCGACTTTAATGAAACATTTTTTTAAAATATAATATTGACAATTTTTTGTTTTACTATGTTGTTTATATTTTGTTTTTTTTGAATAATATATATATTATTTAATATAATACCAATGCCCTCTTAACTTATAGAAAATAAGATATTTAAAATTTAATTTTTTTTGCAGAATTCTGTAGATGTAGCCGACCTAAAGATTTTCTACCAAACCCATATCAAGGAGCTAAGACGCGCCCACGAGGATCAGGTGCGCAAGCTTAACGATCGTATTAAATTCTATGAGCGCCGGGGTGACGATGACTACAACGTATGTATACAAATATCTTAATTCCAAACAACGTTTCATATTTAAGCTTGTTTTGACTAACTGAGCTAACTGCATGCCCATTCTTGTTTTTCTCTCCGAATTTTATAACCCAATAAAACGAACTAAACCAATTGTAACTACCTGCAATCAACACCCAAATGCATAAACTAACCCAGCCTGCAGCCGAATCACCCGCTCGTACCTGTCTGGAAAAGGGATCCGGAGATGGACCCGCGAATACCTCACTGATCATCATCGATGAGGACGAGCTGAACTTTAATAACGAATCACAGGTTGTCCAGCGTATCATCGAGGAGTACGAAAGGAGGTTGCAGGAACAACTGACCTTGGCTCGACAGGACATTGCCACCGAGTTGGAGCTGCAGATTCAGGTGAGCGGAGCAGGCAAACAGGTGCATCCTGGCATGTGGCATGACTCTAATATTTTAACTCATTGCAAATTTTCTGTTACTCGTTGCATATTCTTAAAACATATTTTCGTTTAAATTTCGGCAAAAAATTTTTTAAACAGGTTTTTTAGAAAATCATCTTATTTTCGTTTGAAATGAGTTTGTTTCCAAAAATAAACTAATCATTTGTAATTAAAATTATATTTTTAAGCTTTTTATTATTTATGTACTGTTTATATTGTGATTTAATTTTTTGTCGAATTTTTGCTTTAATTATTAATTTTACTTTATATACTTAAAAATTTACATTCCCATTAAGATGACTTTTATTTGCTAAATTCATGAATTTTACCGGACAGATAAAACGTAAACGTAGTATGTGTGATTCACTTCAATGATTAGTCGAATCTTAAAGTGTTCTCCCTTGCGAAAATCTCTTCGCGAGCATAACTTATTTTTAAACGCGCCGCACGCAGCTCACATGAAAAAAACGTGCAAAATTTGTCAAGTAGCCAAAACACAAATGAAAGCAAGAGGAAAAATAAAGAGTGCTAAAAACAGAGCAACATGAAAATCATGCTACCACAAACGTGTGCCAAAAGAACTTTCAACTCGCTTCGAATTATGTAGCATTAAATCAGTCCGCACTTTGATACCTGGGCATGGCTCTATTTATATCCGTCAGTCAATGATCCCCTAGAATTGTTGACAGATGCCTCAATCCTTTCCAGCAGCCGCATCAATCCTCAGCATCTCACCAAATATGGTGGCCACGTGTCAGCCAGGGGATACGAAATAAAATAGAAAAGACCTCCCTTTGGATGGCGCTTGTCAGAGACACTTTTTGTTGTTCTTTTGTTCGACACCAAAATAAATCCATCGAAGGTCAAAGACTGCTGGATATGCGATTGTGTTAAAAGTAGACAATGGTTAAAGGTCATTTCGATTAAACAATTTTTTTTTATAGTTAAAGGACTAAAATAAAGTAAGGCTTGAACTTAAGAATTAAAATTGATTATAATTGCACTGCAATTTGGTGACAATTTTACTTTTGAACGAAATTCCATTTTATTCTCATGTAGACTTTTAATTTGCTTGCATAATTAACACACATATTTTAATTCCACTGTAAGTTTAGGCACTATCCAAATGCGAAAAACTAAAATTACTATGGTACAAAACCCTACCACTGTTCGCCGAATATTTCCCGCCCCACTTATGCTGTCAGAAAATAGTCTTTTATATGTATCATGTGGGGGCTATCTGCCGATCGTTCTGTTTGCCAACAGCAAATTTCGCAGACATTCTGCGGAATATATGGCAATGCAAAGACATACATAACAACATATAGAGCGCGCCAAATTCTCGTTGAAAGGCAAACATGTGCTCGTCCTGTTGTCATAGTATATTTTATTTACTTCACACCACTCTAATCAAGTCATGAAATGGAGATAATAAAGTCAAAGCAGGAAGTGTGGCTCAGATGGAGTTTAATAAAGGGGGAAAAGTGGTGCAGAAACAACCCCACAAGAGGAGAAAGAAACTGTAGGTACATAACTTTTCAAAATTAACGCTCATAAATTTGAATTAATTCCAACACGCACAGAGAAAGATATAGAAAACAAGCAGTGCGGGAACTGCTTGACACACTCTCTCTCCGATCTCCCGCGCTCTCTCCGCCGATCAACAATATAATGGGCTGCCTGCTTTGGGTGGAGATCAGTCTTTTCCGTTACTTCAACTCGTGCGTACGTCTATAGCGGATAATTCATTCATCTAAAAAAAATACAAACATACTTCCCGCGAGAGTGGAAGAGAATTCGCACTACAGATTCTACAAATCTTCGGGATCTTCAAGTGGTTCTTGTGAAAAGCTAAATATGCAAATCATTGCCAAGAAGCGGAAGATAATTCTATATACAAACAACTAAATTGAATGGCGTTATTGTGTCTATTAATTGGAAATTTTGTGCGATTCAAATCTAACGGTTTTGTGTGCTTAAACATTGTCCAAAGTTAAAAGGAACTGAATATAATTCTTTACAAACCAAGTGATATGATTGTAACGTGCGTGTACTTGTTACAAATCTAACGGTTTTTATTTGCTACAACATTAATGAAAGTGAAAGGAAACTCGGTGTCTAAAAAAGGAACTTCAAAAGTAAGCAAAGAAAATGAATAAACAAACTACATTTTTTAAGAGCCCATCACTCAAAAGACTCCAAAAAAACGCAGACTAAATAAACAAACAGTCTGTACTTTGTCAAAGATTTGTCTTTCCTCCCAATTGACTTGAAAAGTCGTTGCTCTTTCTCCCCAAAAAAAGAAATTAAAACCGAAGAATTTCCATTTCCAGCCACAATCGGTCCATGAGCAGTTTATTTTTGTTCAAGGCGCAAATTTCGGTTTCTCTTAGTATCTTTATTTGGGTTATATTTAGTCAACTTCCCGAGGCCCTGGAAAAGTACTAAGGAAGCGTTCGTTGCGAGCTGTAATATCGATATTCACTTTGGGCTCTATTCCCAAACTCAGTATTCTATAATTTTAAATCACAAAAGAGTTAATTTAAAGGTTTTTAAGTTGTGATTAATGGTGGTTGGTATTTTATTTTAAATCAGAACTAGCTTTACTAACGGTTTGCGAAAAAAAATTGTAAAATTCACATGCAAAGGTTTTCAATAAATTATTACTTAAATAATTTAACTGTTAATTTCAATAATCCAATTGAAATTAAATTAAAAAAGTTAAGTGATGTTAAAAGAACTATCAGCAGGCTACCATAAATTTTTTAAACTAAAGTCTTTTACAAATGTATATGTTTAAAAAGGGATAAGTATTTGACAAATAACTATTAGGAATTAATTCAAGTTGTTTTATCCTTTTATTTACCTCTCAACAAAATTTGGTATCCTTACCATTTGAAAAAAGTTTTTCCTAAAAAAAGGATATAGGTAACTTGCAGGTTTATTTAAAACCAATTACTTTTCACTTCTGGGTCTTTAAAAACAAGCCAAGCTTCATGTAAAATCAACCAACTGTCTTGGCTAAGTGAATTTTAATTGAAAATATTCCGGAACCAGGACCGCCCCTAAAATTAAGCATTTAAGCAAATCAATTAAGGCAACCCTATATAAAGAAAATCAGCAAAGGGGTTATATTAATCAGAGTTTAGACTTGTGCCATGGAATACGACCGAATTCAACCGGTGCGACGCTTGACAGGAATTCTGTCGTGGTGGTGCCTTTGGCCAAAAAACGAATTGGACTCCAGACCGAATTGGACTAACTGGCAGGGATATCTCCTGCATGTTCCCTTTACCTTGGTCTTTGTGGTCCTTTTGTGGGTGGAGGCCATAATGAGCAGGGATATACAACATACCTCCGATGTCCTGCTAATCTGCTTGACCACGACTGCCTTGGGGGCTAAGACACTCAATAACTGGAAATATGCCCATGTGGCTCAACGGATTTTAACGGAATGGAGTTCTTCAGATCTTTTTGAGTTGAGGAGCAAACCGGAAGTGGACATGTGGAAATTCGAGCACCGACGTTTCAGCCGCGTCTCCATTTTCTACGCTATGTGCAGCGGAGGTGTTATCCCTTTTGTTGTGATCCAACCTTTGTTTGATATCCCCAATCAATTACCCTTTTACATGTGGATGCCCTTCGATTATAAGCAGCCGACTCTCTTTTGGTATCCATTTATTTATCAGGCTATAACAATTCCGGTTATATGTATTTGTAATATTACCATGGATACTGTTAATTGGTATATGATGCTGCATCTATCGCTTTGCCTGCGAATGTTGGGTCAACGATTGAGTAGCCTTCGGCATGATAATGAGAAGCTAAGGGAAGACTTCTTGGAATTGGTGCAAATCCACCAGAGACTAAAGCAACAGGCTTTGGATATTGAGACCTTCATTTCGAAAAGTACTTTAACCCAAATCTTGGTCAGTTCCTTGACCATTTGCTTTACAATATATAGCATGCAGATGGTGAGTGGTGTGAAATTATTACTGGATATAATGCAATAAACTCTGTTAATCACCGTAGAATCCAGTCATGCAGGATCTGAGCAAGTTTGCCGCCATGATTCAGTATTTATTGGCCATGATCATGCAAATCATGCTGCCAAGCATCTATGGTAATGCCGTTATCGATTCGGCGAGTATTTTGACTAATTCAATTTATAATTCCGATTGGCCGGATATGAATGCTCGAATGCGACGCCTCATCTTGATGTTTATGATGTACTTAAATCGTCCCATGTCCTTAAAAGCCGGTGGCTTTTTTCATGTCGGGTTACTACTGTTCACTAAGGTTGCTAGAGGTTTATGTGGCTTTAGGAGATTCATTTTATAAGAAATCTTTATTTCAGACCATGAATCAAGCATATAGCCTGCTGGCCTTGCTGCTTAACATAGACCAATAGGATCGGAGTTCTACTTTATAAAACCCTATGCTTTCTATTTTGGACTAGCCGAAAGATTTCGCAGCTCGTTTGGAGATTTATTGCCGCGTCTTGTTATGCAAAAATCTAAAAATACATAGTAGCATTGCACAAAATACACGTATTCCTATATATACTATTTGATGAGTGCACATGAAATGTAGAATTGCAAGTGACGAAAATATAATAAAAATTTTACTTACACAAAGGTTGGCGGGAAAGCTTTAATTCTAGCAATTCGTGTTATTTCCAAATAAATAAAGGTATACCTGGAAATTGACGCTTTATTTCATTTATTTATTGTTATAAATAATTTAAAGTATACTTCAATATAAAGAAAATAAGTTTTGATGGAATAAATTAAGTTATGAAAGCACAAAGTTTGATTTATGTAGGTATTAATGAATATATGTAAACAGTCAATTTCTTGACGAAATCCTTTAAAGTTCAACAATCCTAAGTTCAACGGAAAACTGCTTGTATTTTAGTTTTCCAATTCAATCAAGATCACATAAATGTGTACCGCACTGTTTGCCTACGTAAAGCCTCAAGTAAATATTGGAAAATATTGAAAACAAAGAAAACTCACAATCTGCCGGGATCACGACCCCTTAGTGAGCGATTCAGAGAACAAACGAGAGAGGTAGAGCAGAAACTCTCAGAGATAAGAGAACTTGGTGATGATAAGTCATTGAATTGCTTTCAAATCGTCGTTTTTGAGCTACGTTTAATTGTATTTAATGCGATTTTATGTTTAATTCATAAGCGAGGGTGTGTAGACTCATCCAAAAATAAACTCCAACCCCACCCACTCCCTTTTTTCTTCTTTTCCTGCGTTTGGGTGGGGAAGACGTTTATTAAGATTTATGTATCTGGCTCTGTTTCCGTCTTGCCACCCTCAAGGGATTCGACACACTGTGATATATCTCTGACTTTGGATGAGGCAGACGAAAGATCAAAAATAAAAAAACGCTTAGACCATTTCCCATCTATATCATGTAAATATTTTGAGCTGAAACCATAAATATTTATGCTTTGGTGAAAGGCGGGAAAAGTTTCTTCTGAAAGCTTGATCTGTCTCCCAGAATTGGAATGCAATATGCAGCAGAATGTTGCAACAGCTTTTCACACATTGTCCATAAACAAAACTTTTTAATCCATGTAAACAATTTGCATTTTCAGAATTTGTTGTCGGAAAATACCGTGGACGATCAAAATTGGCCCAAGGAGCTGATCTTGCTGCGCGAGAAGTTTACGGCCAAGAGTCAACTGGAGATCACTCAGCTGAATATTAAACATGCCGACGAGGTGAGTTTAAAGATGGAAACATTTATATATATTTTATATAATATAAATTTGATATTAAAAAGTAACGGAGAAAATCTGAAAACGCTTAAATTGAGCGGAATTGTATTCGTGCAAAAGTATGTAACAGCTAGAAGGAAGCGTTTCCGACCCTATAAAGTATATATATTCTTGATCAGGGTCACTAGCCGAGTCGATATAGCCATGTCCGTCTGTCCGTCTGTCCGTCTGTCTGTCCGTCTGTCTGTCCGTCCGTATGAACGCTGAGATCTCGGAAACTATAAAAGCTAGAGGATTGGCATTTTGCATGCAGATTCTAGGAGTTCCTACGCAGCGCAAGTTTGTTTCAAAAAGGTGCCACGCCCCCTTTAACGCCCACAATCGCTTATATACGATTTTAAAAATTTAAATATTTCGGAAAAGTAAAAATGCAGTTTTATTGTGTTTATCAATACCTATCGAAATGTAGAAGAAATTTTTCAAATCGGACCATTTGTTAAAAAGTTATGCGTGATCAAAATTTCTATCTCCATCTCCCTCGCACTCCCTTTACCTGAGTAACGGGTATCTGATAGTCGGGTCACCCGACAATAGCGTTCTCTCTTGTTTTTAATAAAATCATGTAAAAGAATAAATTAAATTATTTATTTATTTACAAATCTAAAATTGACTGAATATCTTAAATTCCAAATCCAAATTTTTAATTTGATTACTTTTCATTATATTTGTAAGGTAATAATCTTTGTTTTGTTAATCTGCCGCAGATGTCGCGCATAAAATTGGAATACGAGAAGCAGCTGAATCGGAAGAACAAGCGTCACCTGACCTTTGATGCCGCCCGTGACCTGGAGCAGGTAATCTGCGAACGAGATGGATTGAGGGAGCTGTCCAAGAGTTTCCGCAGCGTGCTCTGTCGACTGGCGAAGTGTGTGGCCAACTGTGAGGAGGATTTGAATGCCACGCTCTCCGAAGAAGTGCAACGCCTTCTATTCCACAGTCGCAGTCAGGATGCGGGGGACGACCTGGAGGTTACCCTCAGTGGCTCCCTAAACAACACAAAACAAATGCTCCGAGTGCCGGATGTACACAGTCTGCTGGAAGTGGTCGACGATCCCAGTTTGGTGCAGTTCATCGACAGTAAGAGCAACGAAGAGCCAAGTGAGGATTTTGATTTGAACGATTGCCTAGAGCGGTTAAAGTCGGAAGCTTCCTACCTTTTGCATTTGTCAGAGGATTTGCACAAGCAACGGCCACATGATGAGTCCTCGGAACATTTGGATGAGCCGGAGAAACAGGAGCACGAACTCTGCTGCGAGGCAGAGGACGGTCTTAAGACCACAGCTGCGGTACAGCAACAAGTGCTGTCCAAGTTTCTGCGCACAAACTCCCTGAATGACCAGCAAATGGGCGTGGCCAATCAGCGGAAGAACAGCAATCCGGAGGCGGGGAAAACCCATACATCGCTTCCTCCAGATCTCCAGCAGCATGTGGGCAATGCCTCGGAACTATCCTTCCAACTTGTTCAGCTAAAGAACCGCCTGATTAAATCCGAAGCAGATCGTCAGAATCTGCAACAGCAACTGAGTCACACTATCGATCGCAATGCGGAACTGGGACAGGAATTGCAGGCTCTGAGGGATCAGTTTTCTCAACTAAATTCCCTGAACCACACGGATTACAATGAGGGCTATGGCCTGGGGCCGATGAAGAGCCTGCAGGATCAGGGATTGGATCAATCATCGGCCAGTTTTCTAGCCCTCCAGGAGCGGGCGCGCCATTTGCTTTCATCCTCTCCTGTGAAGGAGCAACCTTCAAGGGATATGGGGAATTCCACAGTTACCTTGCTACAAATGATCGAAGACTTTTGTCGCGAGGGCGACAAAGTGGTGGAGAGTGGCAAAAAGGACCGCGAGGATCTGCAATCTCAGGTGAGTTTAGAATCGATCTTCCTCCCTTTTTGAGTTTTCCCCCACGTCTCTCTTTGAGTGCTAAACGCATGATCCAAATAAATTCGATTAGTCTGTAAGCCAGGTTCTAAAAGAAATTATCACCTTCCGATACCCTCTCCTTTGACCAATAACCACACAAAAACACAGATCGATACCGCTGACAAGCAGCTAAAGGATACACGGCGATTCCTGGAGGATCAGGCCGCCGAGCGTGAGCAAGAGCGCGATGAGTTCCAGCGCGAAATAGAGCAGCTGAAGGCTCAGTTGCGCGACAAGGAGAAGGAGCACAGCTCCTATGCCAATGCCTCCGAGGAGGTGAGTCCTGCCCACGGTTCTCATCTATGATCTCTGGGCTCTTGATCTCGATTTTGGGCTTTGTTTGACTTTCGTTTGCGTTTTTGCCTGGGTTCACAAAGTCTTCCTCTGTCTTTTCATATCTCTTTACTTGTATTCTTTCTATCTATTGAATATTATTATTCCTTAGCTCTAGTTTTGGTTATAAGTTTGGTTATAGGCATATTATTGTTTAAGTATCCCCAGCATGTGGCCTTCCTTTTTATTAACTGACACAAACCCGCACATTATCAAAATATTAACACACAACTGCTTCGAAATAATTGAATTCTGGAAGCCATTTCCACAAAGAGTTTACCAAATAGCATGGGGCACCTGTTGGGCATAATTCAATTGTAAATCCCTCTAGGGGGCTGTTCAACGGAGTCAAGGGCACCGTCGATACATGTGTGTATATGCCAGAGCTTTTGTAAGCATGTGCCGACATATTTATAGACCCGAAGATATAGGCACTTAAGTGTGTGCGAGTTGGAGCCTTTAAATCAGATTCCATTTAGTCACACTACCTCAAGTTGAAGATCTATTGTGGTTGGAATAATTTCAATGTCGACCTGATATATGCAATTTTTTTCCAAATGATCTATGAGTTGTTGCCAAATTCCGTGAAAAAGATTGTTTTTGTTCTGTTTTTGATTATTTCAAATAGTGCAGTATGATTTATCAGCATGGAAATTAGTATTCAATGGTTTTCTAAATGCTGAAAGTTGCATTACTTATTTTAAATTAAATGTATTTAATATAGTAGAGTCTGCGGCTTACTCGCTTTTATTATTGCTTAATTTTTTGGAGTTTTTCTCTCGCGTTTCAACAGGTATTTCTGCATTTATTAAGAATTTTTAAGTCTATTAATTTATTTATTAATTAAGTATTTTTCTTTTGGTCTCCCAATCACCTTAAATGTTATTTGTGTTAATCAAACTAAATAATGTATTTGTAACTCTTTGCATGCACTCAATAAACCAAACCGCAACTAAAACTTAAATTTATTGCACTTGTACCCCTTTACCCACTGCGTGCAAAAAAAATAGTTGAAGGTAGCGAAACGAAAGCATGTAAGTTTGTCACTAATCTGGAATTCCGCACCCGCACACTTTACACCACATTCTTCCATAAATTACCTTTTTTGAAATACATTGCTAATAAAGTTCTTATTTTTATACAGTATGCCCAACTAGAGGCCCAGTTTCGAGAGGTTAATTATCAGCTGAACGAGGCGAATGCCAAGCGGGATAAATTCGAGGTGGAACTGAAGGCTTCGATAGACAAAATCTTTGTTCTGCGAGAGATCATCTCGGAACTGGAAACTCAAGTCCAAACCAAGGCACTCAATGAACAAGTGTTGGGAGAAAAGGCCAAACAATTGGAGGAATATGTGGGTTTGCAGATGAGGGATAACGATGCCCTGCAGCAGGAGGTGCACAGTTTAAAGACGGACATTGGAGAGAGCTATCAATCCCGTATAAGAATACTAGAGGATAAGTTGCAGCAGGGAAGAACAACTGCCGAACAAGGCTCTGTTTTGAGTCAAGTGGCGGAAAAACTGAGAGATATTGAAACCACGCTGGATCAGAAGACCAAGGTCTTGGAATCCCTGCACAACTCCAACAACGCCTCCAATTCGGCCAGCTTAAGCGTCACCGAGGATGTCTCCATTCATGGCAGTAAGGATCACACGGCAGTGGGTTCACCCTCGCATCCGTCGCTCACCGTGGAGGGTGTGCAACGGGTCACCGAGAAGCTAGACCGGCACACTCGCGTCGAGGAGGCGGCCATCAAGCGGATTCGCGACCTGGAGATGCAGGTCCATCAAATGCGTGCCGGTTGTGTGGTAAGTAAACCAAAAAATAAAATAGGGTCAGTTAAAAAGCCAGTGCTGACGTTTTAAAAATACTTTTAAATATTGACTTCATGCTTTTCAATATGTGCACAGTTTTAAGTCACATTTGAAGAAAATTTAAATTATGAAAATCATATAAAAACCACTTATGTTCATTATTTTTTTGAGGGACTTGCTTTTGCGGCAATCGATCAAGTTTTTAAAATTTTTGTTACAAGTTGATAATTTTATTAAACATCTTAATACTAAAATTAGTAAGAAATTTTGTAGCTTAAAGTAAAACTTTTCCAACCAAAATTCAGTTGAAAAAAATTAGGTTCTTAAAAAATTGCTTTCACCTTTTTCTAAAACTGTAGACACCTGTACTATTTGAAATGTTTCTTTTTATTACTTCGATTTTTTTTAATCGTCTTAATTTTTTAAAACAAGAAGTACAGAAAATTTAATTTCTCCAATGAACTTTTAAGAGTTGTATGGGAAGGGAATATTTTTCCAGTTCTGTTTTTTCAGGAGGTCAAATTTTTTCCATTGTTTTTTCATGTTTTTAGTCCCGGCTTTGTGGGACAATACGAAAAATGTCATGAACAACATAGAAAGTATTTTTAGAGGGCTTAAGCAAAAACACTTGAGAAAAGGCGATTGATGGATTCTTGTCGCACTGCAGGCGTCCCACTACGTGGACCATGACAGCGCCATCAAGGCTTGGCTGTGAATCCACCGAAGATATCTCTCGATTGATCTTCTTGAATTGCAGACTTTTTATTTTTTCCAAAATCTTCTTACCGCCTAAAATCTGGTGTCCATCGAAAGTCATTAAAGATTCGGTGTCGCTGTAGAGTTCCTCCAAAGTGTTTTGCTTTGCAGGGTCATCGAATCTTGTGTAATATTGTCCAACAAAAGTCTTTCCAATTGACTCGAAGTTTTGATTCATCTTAATAGCGGACTCCATTGGATTCTTCAAAGGCGAAGTTAAAATTATTGGAAACCCAAAAAAAAAGGGTAAATAATTTTACCGAGTCTTAGCTGCTATAATATCTATGAGTTAAATGAGTATTTAATATTGTCTGACTACGTGAGTACTATTTTGAAGCCTACTTTCGAACTTTTTTTTTCTCATTAGAACTTATAAAAACTATCTAAGAATCGTGGGTATATTCATAGATGTTTTTTAGGCAATTTTATATAAACTTCGGCTAGCGGAACCGTTACTTTGAATTAATGAATTAAATTAATTCATCAATTTAAGGTTTGTGAGACCGCTTAGGTGCGAACTATCCTGTTCACAAACCTGTATTTATTCGAACTCGAAACGGTCATGTTGTTGTCTTTGCTAAACCGAAAAATTTCAATTCAACGGTCGTTCGCTCGTATATTTAGATGCTTTTCTCTCTTGGTTTTCGGTACTAAGGCAACTGAGCATCCAGAAGAACATTTGTGCGATAAACCCGGCTGGCTTTCTCGATCGAGAGCATCTCTTAGTTGCCTTCAGAAAGGCACTGTGAACGGTTGAATCGGGAGAAATGTACGCCGTCATGTACATCATTTTGGATCGCTAGCCAAACATATAAGTTCATTTTCAGATATATTTAATTTTGTGAAAAATAATCTTATAATTCAGCTGCAAGTTGCGGAAGTTTCGAAAATGTTTCAGGGTCCAAAGATTCCGCTGCGAGTGAGTTTTCAAATGGAGCTTTTAATACCCAATCAAGGTTTCTTTCAGCGACAATTGATGTGCGGCAGAGAATGTTTATTCATTTTGATGAATTCTGCTGAAGGCAATCATAAAATAAATAAATATATAATTAAATTTGTTGTGCCGCCAACTGCCATAATGTTTGGTTCATGCTTTAACTATGGACAATGTGCGGTTGTTCTGGTTGAGATATGTGATTTATGGCAGCAAGTTTTTGGGAATTTGGCACACTCTGTCACATAAATAAATCGCTCCCTGTTCCCTTTCCACATGCCCGGTTTGTTCCACTTCAAAAATAGATGCATATGTTTGCCCCGCCTTCCTTACACGCCCACATTTTCGTTCCACTTGAAAATCAATTGTAAATCAAATCATTTGGCGCCTTGGCACCTGCCACATTTTCATCACCCACTGAGGGGAGCACCTTTTGTCACTTGGAATCCGACTCTAAAAAATAGTAGTCCAGCTTGTTTACAATATGCATTCTCGCACTGAAGCCCAATTGAAACACTAATATGCGGTAATGCCTCTATAAATTTCTTTATGCTATGGCACGCATCCCGCTGAGTTGTTTGGAAAAGGGGAGACTGAATGGTTGAAAGGGGGCAGCAGTTTGCTGGGGAAGCTGCATTCATACCCGCATGAATATAAATAGATCAAAACCGAGTAAACAACAGCCAAGAGATGCAAGTACAAAGGCGAAGATACAGAAAACAGTGGGGGAACTCGTGAATAGCAAGATGTAAAAAGTATTTAAATTACATTTAAGAGTAAAATGACAGAAATTGTTTTAAGAACGATTTGTTGAATTTCAAAACTGGAGTGTAAACTTCTTATATACAAACTGAAAGTTTTATTATGGATCATAAAAATAACGAGATAATGTCCATTCATTTAAAAGGAATCTCGTTAGTTTAGATATGGAAAATTGAACATATTGTAGCAGAAGCTTTTATTTTTTTGCCACCCATAGCCACGGTGCGGAGATACGATACATATATCCACTTTAATTGAAGTTGGAAAGGGTTAAATGCAGATGAAGCCAACGGTCAAACGGTCGGCCATTGACTCACCCACTCAAACCGGGGAAAACAAACTGACAGGCAGACTAACCACTTGATCAAGTTGAATCCTACAACCGGAAAAAAATTACTGAGTCTGATAATGATTTGGTTTAAATATAATTTTCCAGAAAATAATCTTATTATAATCAGATTTATTCTTTTACTTTTTTTTTGGACTCAAAGGTTTACATGAATTTAGTATTTTTGGCTTAGTCTTGTTTATAAAACTAATTTAATTAATTATATCATTAAAATAACCAATTTAATATTTAAATATTCTATGTAGTTTTTTTTAAATATTCAATTTTATTTTATTTTCTTTTTCAGGAGCTCCAGCATGAACGCGACTCCCTTCAGGGTCGAATGGATGAGCAAACCCAGCGGATCTCCACACTCCAAAGCCGCTTGGAGGAGCAGCGCCAGCGAGCGGAGCAACTGCATCGGGCTGGCACCTCGGACTTAAATACCCGCGTACATGAACTTCAGGGTGAGGTGCAGAATCTCGGCGAGCAATTGTCTGCGCGGGACAAGCAGATGGCCACCTTGCGGCAGCAACTGCAACGCAGCCAGGAGGAGATAGCGCGACTGGAGGCGGAAGTCACAGTTCGCACCCAACCAGATCGCGGTCTGGTGGACAAGCTGGAAGCTGAAGTGCAGCAAAAGGGAGCAGAGATCGGCAAGCTGAAGGATAAGATACGCACAGAGATGATCAACCGACTGGCATTGCCGGATCTAATGGAAACAATGCTGGCGGACAAGAACGATGAGATAGATCACCTGCGCGATCAACTGGAGGCCAAGGAGAAGGAACTGCAGGCCAGTCATCAGGACGGCACCCTGATTTCATCCGCGGCAGGAGTAGTCGGCGGAAAGCAGGAAGGGAGTGGCGGCAAGTTGAGTGGCCGCACTCTTAGCGATATCGGATCGATTACCGAGTTCCCCGAGCCGGATGTGGAGCGACGAGCGGCGATGCGGAGTCTCAACGCTCCCCTCCAGATGAGCGATGGTGCGGGCGTCTTCCTGCACCAGACAATGGTAAGTGTTTGGTACTTAAAAAGGATATAAGTCTTACATGTTAAGCCATTTACTTCACATCAAAGTGGAAGAATATTTTCTTATATAAACCCTTCTTATGTTTTCTTTGTTACAGGAAACCTCCAAGGAAGCAGTGGCCAACTTAACGCTCAAACGTACCGACGACCTAAGCGGTTTTATAGCCCCCTATCCGGTGAACACTTTTGAGCATCCCCACTATTTCCAGGCCATGGGAGTCACTGCCCAGAGCACCGATGGGCTCACACCTGGTCTGGTGCCGCGGCAGATCAACTTCTCCAATCTAACAGAAGACTCAAAACTAAAAACACCCAGTGTGCTGATGCGTACACCAGAAATGCCCAGGCCAATGACTCCCCCGGAAGTCTATCAATTGCGACAACAGCTGAACAATTTGCAGGTGGAAAAGCAGCGACAAGAGAGTGAACTGGAGAATAAGTTACAGGACCTGCAAAAGCAACTGGAGCAGGAAAAGGAGAAACTAAGTCGTCAAGCCCAAAGTCTGCAAAGTCACGAGGAGAGTGAGATAAAATATAGGCTACGTATTGAGTCTTTGGAGGCGAAGATTCTGGAGACAGCTGCCCAGGAGGCCTCTGATCGGGAAAATCTTCGCAGGGAACTGAACTGCGTTAGTGCAGCCCATGAGCAATGCGAAGATGCAGCAGCTGCCCGCAAACGAGAGCTGGAAATCCTCAACAGTGAAGTCAAGCTCAAGGCCGATCAGCTTCAAGCTGCGCTTCGCCGATGCGGAGATCTGGAACTGCAGGTTCTCACTCTAGAACGAGAGATGGAGCGTTTGAAGAACAGTGAAAACAGCTCCAAGCAGTATTCGGTGGATGAGATTGCCCAACAGGTGGAAAAAGAATTAAACTACTCCGCTCAGCTGGACTCCAATATTCTCAAAGCCATTGAAAGTGAAGAGGAGAACAATCTGGACAAGAAGCGGCAGAAGGGAGTGCAAACGGAGGAGGAGACCATGCCAGGAACTGGTAATGGAACGGATGATGAGAACTTCCTTGGCGAACGGGAGCTCTTGAATCAATTGGAAGCCCTTCGAGCTCAATTGTCCGTGGAGCGTGAACAATGCGAGGCGATGAGTAAGGAGCTACTGGGTGAAAAACAGCACTCACAGGACATTCAAGAGCAGGATGTGGTCATTATAGAGGCTATGCGAAAGCGACTAGAGACTGCTCTGGATGCGGAGGACGAGCTCCACAAGCAGTTGGATCAGGAGCGGGAACGCTGTGAGCGTCTTCAAACGCAGTTGACTTCCCTGCAGCGAGCGGAAAGTCGAAGGAATAGTTCTCTGCTCCTCAAATCACCGGGCGACTCACCCAGGAAGTCCCCACGAGCTGATTTCGAATCAGAACTGGGAGATCGTCTGCGCAGTGAGATTAAACTTCTGGCTGCTCAGAATGAAAGAGAACGGGAGAGATCGGCGGATGCCCAGCGTAGCAGTGAGCGCGAACGTCAGCGGTACGAAAAGGAACTCCAGGAACGAGTAGCTTACTGCGAACGTCTCAAACAAGAGATGGAAAAGCTTTCACGGGATAAGGACTCCGCTGAGTCAGAGCTGGAACACTTCAACGAGCGGTTGACACTGCAGGCCAGCGAGATCGAGAGCTTGGAGGCGAGGCTAGTTACCCTCCAGGAGGCGGAAACTCGAAGAGCCAACACCCGCACTCGTCAGCACCAGGAGAATGTTAAACTCCAGGCCGAGATCCATGAACTCAAGTCAAAACTGTTGACAGCCGAAGCATCGCGGGATTGCCTGGAGCAAAAGGTTACCCAATTGCGCTTTGACGTGAGTCGTTCCGGTCAAAGGGAAGCCAAACTAGCTGAGGCCCTAGCTCAGGCCAATGATCGATTGGCTCACAGCACCGATGACAATGTGCCGGCACAGTTCCTGCAGAAGATGAAGGAGATCAACACCCTGTTGGCGGAGAACACCCAGGAGAACAAACAGATGGCGGAAACTGTCCAGTTTCTGGTGGGCGAGCGCATTGCCCTGCAGAAGAAGTGCGAGGAGTTGGGTGGGTCTGGTAACACCAATGTCACTGAACTGGAGGAGCGCTGTCGGCAGTTGATCGGCCGCTATTTACGCGTGGAGTCGCATCGCAAGGCGCTGGTCTACCAGAAGAGGTATCTGAAGCTCACTTTGGAGGGTTATCAGGCCAGTGAGCAGTTGGCACTGCAGAATCTGCGAGGTGGTGCTGCGCAGCCTACCCAGCGAAATATTAAAAAGAAGTTCAAGTAAGTCCGTAATTCTATTGGGAATTTAATTGCATTTAATAACTATAACTTTAAACTGATCAAATTCTTCCCCTTTTTCAGGACTGTGGCCCTGGCCATCATTGCCATCCAGCGAATCAAATACATTGGACGCATCTGGCACACGGGCAAGCGGATTGTGAGCAAGTCGGTCTTCACAATCACCCAGCAAAGGTAAGGGTCGTCAGGTTTTATCTACAATAATCTGCTGTACAAAGAAGCCTTGTCATAACAATCATTCTCTCGTCCCTCTAAGCTCTAAGATGCCCCTTGTGACTGTCAATATGAAAGTAAAGCTAAAGCAAGGCGATTTAGCCAAGAAATAGTGTCCACAAGGTCTGGGTTCCTAAATTTTTTCACTCAGTTTTGGGTCACTTTTTATAGAGAATATAAGTTTAAATATAAATTTACTTGACCTAGTCACCAAATAGTAGTAGTAGCTAGATTTATTTTATAACTCTTTAATTCAGGCGAGCAAACCTCTTTTGATCACGGTCAAATGGGTTCACATTCTTTTTGTTACTAATAAATTATTTTTATTTGTTATGCAGTCAAAATTTTATTGCCCAAACTACCATCTGCCATTTCACATGTATTTATACTATCTCTCTACGAAGTTCGAGTTATGATAGTTCGACTGTGTTTAAGTTTTTAAAATAAAAACGTTTTCACACTGCAGACAATTCAATAATAGTCCACCTAAGTCTCTTAATATTTTAAACAGTTTTTAGATGCCAAAAAGTATTGATTTTTTGGTTTTCTAACGGTCAATCAATATGTAGTTAATGATTATTTTTTAAACTCTTTGCAATACTGCTTCAAACTCACTTTAAACTGGATAAAATTCACCCATTAACTTTAAAACACATTTTATACGAAAGAGGACTAATCTGAGTCATATTTTTAGAAGTCCTGGACTAAACCTGAATGTGGCGCCTCCCCAATCCCCACTGCCTGGGCCCAACTCGAATCCACCCACCAATAACAACAACCTCATGGGGCGCCTTAGTTATGCGCCCCTCTCACCGCCGATGGTTAATTACAGCACTGTGCAGCCGATAATGCTGCCATCGGATTTTACCCTCCAAGCGCCATCATCTTCGTTGCAGAGCACCATCGCCAATAACAATAGTGAAAACAACCTGCCTTCGCTGGCCAGATTGGACTGGCCAACGATGCAGAAACCGAAGAGAGCGCATGCGCGGCATCATTAGGAAAAATCGCACAGCCCAGTCAACGGAAAAGCTCAACTGAAGGCACTAACTTTAAGTGAAGCCATAACGAAGACACTTTGTAGCATGAAAGCATCGTGAATGTAAAACAGGCGATCCATTCTAGTGTTAATTACCTGTACCATTTCCCCCAAACTAAGTCTTAAGCTGTTGTAACCTAATTTAAGCGTCCGCGCGACCACACCAAACTTAGACATGTAATCGTCTTGTAAGTGTTATTTGTATTTACCGCCCAAGTGTAGCCATAAGCATAAACCTAATCCGTGTCCCAGTATTTTGATTGGCTCGACTTATATTTAGTTTTTTTTAAATTTTGACTGTATAAGTTTCCTGATAAGTTGATTAAACCAAAATTTATTTCATATTGAAAACGGTTCTGTTTATTATTTTTATTGACCTTACTTGAAATTTTCTGTACATATATGGAATGTGCCTTATGGTTGAGGATTAACTGGACAATTTAGAATTCAGTTCATCACAATACTTAAATAAAGAAAACATGTTAATGAGGTAAAAAGCACATAACATATACTGGATATGCGGAAATGAAAATGGGGAAGTGAGTATACAAACCATTACACTAAGCTTTTTATGTGGGATTTCATTCAAGTTATTAAGGTAAATGACTTTGTTTTAAATTTCAATGAAATTCCTCTTAGGTAAATAGAAACATAAGAAGAAATTCACATAGAGGCAGCTCCCAAAATAGAATTCAAGAGTCATAAAATAATCACAATAATGAAGTGAAAACCCACTGCGTATACTTGATATGCCCAAATTACGAATAAAGTAAATAAGCACTTACAGCGTAAGGACCCAAACAAAAAGTGTTCTTCAACAATATGCCAAGGGGCAAAATGGATGCAGCTGTTTCAATTTCCCAATGCCCGGTTAGCTCAACAGGTTTGAGGGGTTGATCGGTCAAATGTCAAGTGCTGCAAGGACACCTAAGCCGGACATAAAGTAAAGCACCTCGCCTCAGGGCGGCTCTTCGTCAAATGAACGCAAAAGCTGCAATGTTTTTGCACGTCCAGCAGGGATTCGCTCCAAAAACCACCCGCCCTTAACCCTCTTTAGGCCACGGCCAACGTAAGCTGGGAAATTGAAAATACTCTTTAATTTCGTTAAGGAGGTAGTTCGTTGTCGCATTAAGTAAGTTTGTGACAATGATGATTTGGTCTGGATTTAAATTATTATTTGTTGGCCCAATAAATAATAAAAAGGTTTATTGAAATTGATGTAAAATGTATATTCAATTCGACAACAGATAAATAAAAATTAAAAGCTAATTAAAATTTCTCTTTGTGATTTAAAAATATATTTACATAATGGGTACAACAACTTAAAAATATGTAGAAAGCAATAAATGTTTACCTCAAAGATTTCAAAATAATTAATTTCTTGTATAATATTTTTTCTAAATGTTGTAATAATTATTTTTTATTGCCTAAGTTTTATATTATAGTAAATAATATTGCAAGTTTGATATGGAAATCCCTCTGATTTTATTTACTACAAGGCTCTCCAACCCGCTGAAATAGTGAACGTATCCTTTGGCATACCCTTGATAATTGCTGGCCAGCTCGTTATCAGCACACCGCCCACTGATAAGGAGTCGCGGAGCTTTCCGTCGGCCGGAGCCGAAGTTGGCCGAAGGCTTACGGCCGGAAAAGCAGAGCTTTCCCTGCAGCAACAGTAGAATCGGCGGTGGACAGGCAGAAATCGCTAGCATATGGTAGCGTTGAATGGCGCATCGTCTAGCATTGGCTATCCTGTCGTTGTGGCAAGCGGTCCTACCAACATCCTGTTACATCCAACCTGTATTTGTGCTACTGCGGTTGCGAGCGGTCTCGATTCGGATGCGGATCCGGGTTTTGTTTTGGTTTTCCCGTCAAAAGGTGCGTGTGCTAGGACAAAATGAGATTCAGTCGTCTGCCATTTGAATAGATTGCTTTTCGCATAAATATCAAAAATATTTTGAAAAGAAACTCAGTGAATTCGATTATTGCGGCTTGAGTGTTAAATTTTCGCTTGATTTGCATATGCCAGGAGTGGTTTTCAAAGTTTCTTTTGAATGTTAATGAACTGTGCCAAAAGAGATGATTAATTATCCCGATTTTGGGTAAAACAAACAAGAAAAATCATCTGAAAACAATTAATTTTTGTTTAAAAAAGGCTGCTGGAGTTTGAAGAATCAAGGGTAGAAAGGTAAGGAATAATTATTTAATTTAACTTTAAGGTTTGCACCAACAAAATTAAGTATACTTTGATATATTAAAAAAATATTTGTTAAGGTATGTTATGTATGTTACAATTTTGAAGTTAGAATGCAATTTTTTAAACCAGATGATCCATAATTTAATCAATCGGTAGTTTCATATTAAAAATGTTCTTGTAAAAAAAATGTCAAAAAGCTAAAGTTTGTCATGGTTCTTGATAACCTAATCAGCTCAAAAAAAAACTCAATTATTTTGAAAAATTTTTTTGCACTTTTCTTTAAACTCAAACGGGCTTGAATCCCTGATAATTACCAATTGGCTGAAACCAATTAAAAAAGTTAAACAACAATTCTTTGATTCATATCTAAACTTTGATTCTCCAATTGAAAATGTTTCAAGTGGGAGATGTTTCTGTCACTTTAAGCCATCGACAAACACAGAACAAATAAAGGCGCAAGGATGGGGAAGGCGATGAAGAAATCCAATTTGATAAGTAATCGCATCAGGCAAAAGCCTTGAAATTCGCACTTAAAGCGTCGTTGGGTCCCTAATCCCAGCCATTTAAACACTAAAGGAGCCAAAGACAGAATTTTTTTATGGCAAGCAAAAGGCCCTCGTCTGCCTGTTGAATATTAACCATTGAAGTTGATATTTCTCTTTTTTTGGCAACAGTCAGGGACTTGGCTTATTAAATCTGTGATTGTTTGCCTGGTGGGCCGAAAGCACCGCAAAATTAGCCAGGTCAAAGGCCAAAGTAGTTTAAGAGCTCTTTGATTTGGGTCCTTCATTGGTTTTTTTGCATTTCCTGAGAGTGAAAGTTTGCTTTTCGCTTCGCTTCCCTATCGCACATGTGTATCTAGCTGTATCTGTTATTTGTTGATAAGATTGTGGTTCCTTATCTGTGAACAATATACTGGTATTCAATGTATAATTTTACTCCATATTCGTTACGCCTCTGCAGTTTTTTTGTCCATGGCCAGTTAGTAGGCGTTACATGGGATTGTAGACCTAATTGTGGGACTGCTCCTTTTATTTTTTTGGCTATCTAATGACATCAAACATTGGCACACACTCTGGGTGTGTGAATAAGTTCTGTATGTGGTCAACAGGTAAGGGATATCTGCAAATTGGTTAAAGTTGCTGTGGCAATTTTCGAATTTATAAGTTCTTAATTTCTGTCCAACCCAGGGGCCAAAACTTGACCAAGGCAACAAACTTTTACAGATGCCTGTGTCGGGATGGGGAGGCATGCTTGGATGGCTTCACTGTCACCAGGCGGAGAAGCGATGAAAAGGAAAAGGAGCTGTGAAAAGGCGGAGCAGGAGCAAAGACAGCCAGTCGATGGCGAGACAGCTTGTCACTGACATGTCCAGGGCTTAAATTTCATCCTTCATGCTTCCCCGCCGCCACACAAGTTCATTATTGTTGCTTCCCACTCCCCCCACTTGTGCACTCGCTTTAAGTTTTTTAATTATGCTGCCTGGTTAAGTCCCCGGCTTAATCCATTTTGAGGACGGGCATGCATGGCGTATGCGCGATGAGAAAAGTTCTGATTTATTTGCTGTCTGCTAAGAAGACGGCTTACACACACAAAAAAATTATAATATGTTTTAAAATTAATTTGATGCTGCTTTGATATCAAAATGGTTACTCAATCTATATTTTTCAAAAGGATAGCACACGTTGCGTATGCTTAGCGGTTTTCTTCTTTGGCGTCTGTCTGGCATTCATTTAATTTCCAACAAATTAATAATTAGTATATGGATGAAAAATAGTAAAAGTATCAAATAATTTTTTTAATGGGCAAATACTTTATAAAATATATTAATGAATGTTGATATTCAAATTAAATATGCCTAATGAGGCCAAAATCTTTCCAACATATAAATTGAAGTCAGAAGTTATCTTGCTTTTCGCTGTGTATCCACCTGACTTTGGGTGCTTTTCTTTTCCCGCAGACAGGTAGCAGTGTTACTCATTTCTTTGTAATTCCACCTTTTGACTGCCCTGTGTAGCACGCGCAATTAGCTTGATTGGAGCTCTGCTGGGAAGTGGGCATATGGAAATGCTCCATATTCAACCATTCGTAATCCGCTTTCCCAACAGCTCTCATTTATTTATAATTGGCTAGTTTATGGCCACCATCTTATGGCCAGCTGCTCTCATTAGCCTTTAAAATTGCCATTTAGTTTTAGTTTAGCTTTAAGCTGGCATAATTTATTGTGGGCTTCCCATATATAAACCAGCTTTGCAACTTTAGTTGGGTTTAGTTTTAAATTTCGAGAAGATGCATTTCCTAATTTTGGTTGTGTTTTTCTGGGTGGCGCTATTTGCATCAATTAAAGGAAATAATATTCCTGATGAGGAGTTTTTGCTTCAGGTGGAGAAAACAGTGAGCTTTGACAGTTATCCCGACCCATCTGTTTTAGATTTATATTAATTATGAAGTGAAAAATGCTTAGCACCCAAAATTATATAACTTCAAATAATGATATTAAATTATTAATTGCAATGACAATTTTGTAAAAATTTAAAATAAGTAGTTTTACGATTTAAAAGTGTTATAAAAAGGTGCAATCAATAAAATGTATTAGGCAAGAAAATCTAAAAAAACTGTTTAACAACGTCTTTCACTCAACCTCGTTGTTTACGTTATTCAAACGTCTTTCTTCACTCCTAAGTAAAAACCCGGATACTCCGAAAGCTCAAATGGAAGACATTTTAATTGCCGAATTGTGTGAAACAATAGAACAGATGGAGACCTCAAACAACCAAAATTGCTGGCAAGCCGCTAATGACAACTATTCAAATCCCCGACCACAGAGAAACCCAGCTAAATAAACATGCAACTACGCAAACGTGGTTAAATAATTTGCACGGATTCTTAGAAACGAAATTTAGTTGAATCAATATTTGAAGTGATTAAAAATGAAAAGTAAATAACACCCCAAAAAGAGGAGCTCTATAAATGGGGGATCACGGGACACCAAAAGCCAGTTGAAAGAGGTTGTTCGCTTGGAAAAATGCGTCTGTTCGTTGCTCTGCTTTGTGTCAGTTTGGTGGCAGTGTCCTCTGGCCAGTTGTCCCTTCGCGGAAGATTAGGTCGCTCCGCTCAGTTAAAGCTGGCGGTGCAGCCCCCTTCCGTGCTGGTGAAGAATGCCGGAATTGTTTCGTCCGATCTGCTGGCGAGTACTGCCGGAATTGTTCCATCTGTGCTGGTAAAGAGTGCCGGTATTGTTCCGGCTGTCGATGTGGCTGCTGATGTGGAAACCCCGAACATCCTGCCGCAAGTTTCGACTCTGCCCTACTATCCCAGCTACTGGCCCGATTATGGAGCATCCTCTGGTGGCTGGTATCCCCAAGCCTGGAACAGTCCTCGCTACTGGAACAACAACTACCTCGATTACGGAACTCCCTATCTGCCTAGACGTCGATTGGTTAAGTCCGTCGTGACGCCAGTCGTGACGCCCGTCGTGGCATCCGCACCCGAAGCCTCGTCCTCATCCTCCTCCACCACCACAACCACCACCACTGTGAACGGTGACCAAGCTGGTGAGGATGCCGCCGTTGTCCCCGATGTGGTGGCTGATCCTGCCGAGTACTAGTTCACCACCCAGGAGAACTGAGCAGCAAATGGGATGAACTTCTAATAAAGTTATGTACATATTGAGCAAATCATTGAATTTTTAAAAAGGGAAGTTGGGTCGGATAGTATTTAAAAGTTTAGTTTCCAGTAATCCTGTTGTTGGAAATAAAAAGAATGTTTAAATCAATTTAAAATTTTTTTCGATTTTAGATTTTGATGATAATGTGAATGTTTAAAATTTATAAAAAATTAATCCGAGTTTAAAGTAGTGCAATATTTTAAGAATTTAAAATGTTTGAAAGAGATTATATATAGGCAGCATAGTAATAACAAGTAAGTTTAGTTCATAGGAAAAATGATTACTTTGAAAGTGCCGCAGAAAAGTGTAATAGCTTAGGTTTCAGCAACAGTTTTTAGAACCCCAAAAAATGAAATACTTTTATATTGTTGATTTTAGAGTTAGAAGATAACCCCTGTGATTCAGGACTTGTGCCAAAGTTAAGTGTTAATTTATGGCCACTTTAGTCCCCGAACCAGAACGAGTGCCCTGCTATCTTATCACAGCGTATATTATATACTCTGTTTGAGGTATTGAGTAGAGTGCAAACACAGAGCTCAGTGGGCCATTAAAGGTGCGCAATCCACCAGCACGGACATGGCAGGGCCACCAGTTCTGACCAGCCCCAAACCCGGACAAAAGCTGTCGGGAAACAGCCTTCCATATGGCGCAATATTGAAATATCCAATCAAAATGTTAATTCGAGGATAGAAGAAGAGAGGAGAAATGAAAATCAAAGGACCGTTTTTCGTTCACGGATAGGTATTGTTTGAACGGATCCTGGCCAAGGATCGCCTCACTTCAGGTGCAATTTTCATCGAAATTTGATGGGTTTTTATGTAAATTTACGTTCCGCGATAGATGGATTAAAAAAAAACCCTTTCACACTTGTTGAATCATTAAACGATGGGACCAATGGGAAAATACATAAAAAGAGGGGTTTATTGTTATTTTTGCTCTCAGTTTATTTGTATACAAAAATTTCTTTTGTTTTTGCCTATGTAATCTGAGCATATTGAGGGACTTTCTATGCTCGCTGGAAAAGTGGGGGTTGGGATGGTAGTGACGTGCTTTCTGCTCCATGTTTATTTTTAGGGTTTTGGCCGGGACTTAGGGTCTGGCGCCAGCGGACCACTCCCTCTCCGGTCCCCAGAATCCTCCCCTTAAATCCCAGCCCCTATTTTCATGAGCGCTTTCACACCAAGAGCTTTGGGCTATGCAAATGAATTAATGCCCATGAAAGTTCACGTCGAATGCAGCGGGTACTTTCTTCTGCAGTTTCGCTTAATTGCATCAATTAGACATGTAAATGCCAAAAGTTGAGTTGTAAAAGACCTCTCTATTTTTGGATCTAATAAAAAACCTTGACCTGGTCAGTATTGTCAGCATATGTAGCTATTTCTCAGTTAAAAGCTGGTTTGTAAAGTTTTAAACTGGTATCATTTATTTCAACATTTGGTGTGAAAAAGCCTGTGTTGGTTTTTGATTTGCTAAGTTATTAGGTTAATATTTTTAAGGGGCGATTAAAAAATATATATGCTACTATTATATATTAAATAACTACAATAAATGTAAGATATGTTTAACCAATAAAAAAGATAGCACACTGAACCTTGCTAAGCTTTATTTCTTCATTCTAATCACAATGGTGGGCTTAATAAGCTGAACGTAATGAATAAACATCAGATATGAGAGCTGGCCCCTAATAATCCCCGGCACATGACAGCATATGTGTACACTGGTCGAAATGGTTTATTGCTCTTTATGCGCATCCTGCTATCAAATAATTCTCTTTTCCTTTTGCTGTGCGATTTCTGGCACTGATGTCCTGACATTCAGCCGACTTGATGAGAGCTCAGCCATCACCATCATTGACATAACAATTGGGAACACTTCTGTTTTCACATGAGCAGCCACGGGTCGTATTTATTTGTAGGAGCAGGGTAGTGGTCTAGTAGTATCGGGAAAGTGTGGCCTATAAGCAAACAGAAATTAGCGCCCGACGTCTAAGGAAATGATTGCCCAGGAGATGAACGCAGTTATGGGATGTCTGTTTGATAAAGGGAAGGCTAAGTTAGAGTTATGTTAGGTACTTTGTAAGTAAACACTGGGTATCCTTGGTATTTTCTTGGTCAAAAACATTATTGGTTGGGGCTTTAAAAGTAGAACATAAGAATGATACTAATTTGCCACTTTCGTTTGGTTTTGTGTCTAGTTTTATTGCTGGTGTAATATTTTGTACGGACTTTATTTTATTGCAAGCTTGAATAAAATTCTAGTTGTCAGTAAAATGATGCCTTCTAACATTGATAAACCAACCACAAAGGCTTTCCTCTTTGTATTTGCCTGACATCCAGTAGTGTGCTGCGAACCCGCAAAATCAACAAATAATAATTTAAAGCCAACACATGCCTTATACTCCGGCGCAGAGGGGTCCCGACTCCCCACGGGACTAGACAAAGTTTCGTAATTTTTTGTATGCAAATTACCGCGCAGGGGGGTCCTTGTCGTTGCAAATTGACCAAAACATGTCAACTGTGTCAACAAGAATTATAGCAATTGTGCGACAATTTCAATAATTTGACCTGGCAAAGGTCGCAATAAAAAATTTCTGGAATTATGCGTCAAAAAAGTAATATATTTTATGTTGCAAAATTATTTGTAGTTATATTCAACTATACTAATAGTTAATAATTATTTATAGAATCGAAGCAATAATAAAGCATGTGAAATATAATGAAAATTCAGACTATTTGACTATTTGGTTATTGAACTTTTTGAACAAAATAACTTTTTGTTTCTTTGGAAAATGGTTAGCAAGTGCTCAACTTACTAATATAACGAACATTTTGTTTTTGTGGGCAATCAATTTTATTATATTCTTTGCTTAAAAATATATATTGGTTTTTAATATGCTGGTTCGATTTTATTCAATAAGGATTAAATATTTAGGGGCACTAAACTGTTTTCTTAGGTTTACAAAATTAAATAGAAAATTGCTTCAAAAAAATAAATATTCTCCTGCTCAATTTTAGATAATTGGCTGAAATTGTGGGACCACCAAGAGAATTACTTTAATTGGCAGCAGTTGGGGCAAGGTCGCCGTCAATCGAACGGGGTCAGTCGACATGGGCGAACATTAACTGGGCTAAGGAATCGATTGCAATCACAGTCATAAAGCGAATTACTTTGAACCCGAAACGTACAGGCTGCAAGAATGCCATCGGTTCGCAAGGGGGTAAGTGGGGTATCGGAGGGTTAAAAGGGGGTCAGAGAGGTTGCGATGGGGTCAAGTGTAATGGACGTGAATATGTGGTGCACGGACTGTTGACCAAGCCATATAGAAATGGAGCAATTGTCTCCTAGGTTGGGTCACTGAGTCAGCAAAGGAAATGGCCGCTTCCCGTGGCTTATATCCCTTTGTCTTCATATTGTGGTTTAAGCTGCGCCGTTGATCAATAAAAGGTTTCTATTTTAATTAAATAAGGTCCGAGCGGAATTAATGTCATTATATTGAATTCCATTCGCTTGCGTTTAGCTTTATTCAATTGAAATTCAATTGAGGGTCGCATTTAATTAGACGTACCTTTTGAATTGATTTATCGTTGCTGTAGAGAATTATAATGAAAGTCTTACAAAGGATGTCACATATAATTAAATATATAGAGCTTTCTGATTAATTGTAAATAAAGTTCAGACAAAAAACATGAACATGTATAAAGTGTTATTTTTAATGATGCATTAAAATATTTATTTGGGAATTAGTATATGTAATACCTTTTAAGAAACTTATTATAAATATGTTTAAGCAAATTAGTCTTGATGCTTTATTCTGAAAGTCATAAAAGGTAAAGGGATTTGTAAAAAAAGATTAGTATTTACACTAATACTTGATTTAAGATGTTCTATTTTCTTTCTTTACTAACTGCTCTTTTCAATTACATTACAAAAATTACATGCTTTCCAAATTAACTTTTATAATATTTTACTTAAAGTCTTTGCACTGGTTTTAAAACAACAAAGAACAAATTTGCAATCAAAAAATGTAACCCCCTCCGTAGAAATTTGAAGTCCCGTGACCCTACTTTAAATTTGGTGCATATGAACTGTTTTAATCCATTTCAAATGTAAGGGTGTGCACCTAATCCCATTTGGGCCAATGAAAATTCTTCAATTAAGCAAACTTGATGCCGCATAATTGAAAAAGAATGCCAATTATGTCAGGTTTGCCTTAAATTCCTAAGCTACCTCAGGGGAGCGAATTCTTTGAGAACCTATTTATAGCGCGCTGAAATGTATGCTACGATTTCCGTTCAGTGGCACGAGGCCAAGTCGAACTTGAATCAAATTATGATTAAGTCCTTACGGACGCCTGTCAGGGGAATGCGTGCGTGAATGTCCCTTCGAATCGGTGAGTGTGTGGGGGTGTGAGTGTGACCGAGTATCTATGTGCGTGACATTGATTGGCATTGAGCTGTGGGTTGGGGGTTGGGGGTGGCGTAGGCAAATGGGCGACGTGAAACATGGCCGAAACACTCTCGACCAGCGACGGCAATCGAGTTAAGCGCATGTGAATGCCGTTTAAGCCAACGCCATGTCCAACCACCGACCAACTAATCTCATTGTCGGCATTAAAAATTACAAACACGCGCCGCATTATAATGCAATTCGCTTTGTTAACCGAGCACCTGACTGCCGTGCCACCACCATCCTGTTGACTCCTCCGTTGGCAACAACACTTTCCTTTTAGCCACCTGCTCGAAATGTTTACAATTGCGCAGAAGTTGTCAAAGGCTGTCCTTGTCCTTGGGTTCCCAAATGGAATCTGAGCGACCCAACAGTAACTGTTTTCACTTTTCCCTTGATTTTCCGCAGATTGTGCATTCAAATAAACATCATTACACTTTGTTGGGACCGCACGCAAATAAGCAACTTAAGTTAACGACTCCAGTTTTTAACTCTTAAACAAGCTTCAAAGAGAAGTCTTGAAAGATTAGGTACATTATTTAATTGGTTAACAATTTGATTTGTAATTAATAAAAAATATATTTTTTAACTTTTTATTTTATTACATTCCATATTTATTTTTGCGAACTTATGTCTGTTACCAATGTTTTTAAGGTAACCAGTAAAAAAATAAAATTTCTTAACTTAAATTAACGATCCAGAAGATACTTTTAGTCTTGCCATCTAAAATTATGCTGCAAAAAAAGATTGAGTTTTGTCTTGTATAGTCGTTTTTTATTAAGAATGATCCCAAAACTATGTAATGAAATGTGTTACATGTTGTTTTTGGTCATGAAAGTTTTTAAATGTTGCAGTTTTGTGAAGACTATTTTGCTGATTGTCAGTGATTTGTATTCATATGGCTAATGTCTTGTTCGGCTTCTTTATCGGCCAGCTCTTTCTCGAGGGCTTCCAAATCCTGGTCAGCAGCCTCTTCCTCGGGATCCTTCTGTTCATCCTCATATTCAGTTTCTTCAGCGGCAGCCTCCTCGGACTCGTCCTGCGGCCTATCTTCCGCCTCCTCCTCATCTTCCTCGTCGAGCTCATCCTCTGAGAGTTCAGCCTCATCCTCTGGGTCTTCTTCGGTTTGATCCTCCTGGTGAACTTGATCCTCACCAGACTCCTCGTCACTTAGATCATGGGAAACCTCATGGGAAATCTCTTGGGATTCATCGACGATCTTTCCATTGACAGTGGGAACTATGCGATAGAATCCGTTATAGTTGTAGGGATACCTGTAGTTATACCATTGGTTATATCCTTCATAATTCCATTGGTTCGATGGGGGAGTCGGACGGATGGTTCCTTCATTGCTGTTGGCAACGGCATTGGACACTCCCGAAATGATCACCGTGTTGTTTCCGAATTCAACCGTCGTGTTCCTTTGACCAGCCTCCGCCAGGAGCGCCTGCAGCCAACCCAAATTCAGCTGGGGAGCTGCATTGCTGTAGGCCAGGATTCCGGCAAAGATCACAACGACAAAAGATATGGAGCGCATGATTCGCAAAACTAGATTGGCTGAGTGCAACTGAGACTATGATTTCCCACTCGTTTGACTTTGTTTTTATATCTTTGACAACTGGTTCAAATTGAGCGATTGATCGTGACATGGTTACACTATGCTAACAATCACCAAGGTTATACAATCTATGTAGTTTTCTGGTAGTAAAACATTTTGTTCTTCGTTTACCCCAAAAATGAGGCTAAGCACATGTGTAAATATCAAGTTGATTCGAGGAAAAGGAACTAAGCACCTCAACAATATGTTCTGAATCATAAGCTAAGTTTGTAGTAGGCAATTCAAAATAAGTATTAACAGTTAATATAGTTAGGTTTTTGTTTTTTAACCATACATACTCTGAAAAGTTACTGTGTTTTTTTCCAACCCGAAATTTGGTACCATCAATGTTTCAAGTTTTCAAATTTAAAATTGAATCACTTTTGAAATAAATAAATTTGTGCTTTTGAGGGGTTTCCAAAGGCTTCAATTTTTTCACAAAAATCTCCATGCAACCTTATGTGAGTGATTAACTTTAAATTGGGAATTTTGGGAATATTAGGCATTGAAATACGTTTTAAGGAAATAAAAATATTGGAATTAATATACATATTTTATAACGGTTTCAATACTTCTTTCAAATCATTTAAGAGTGTTTCAAAATTTATAATTTATCATCTTTAGGAAATCAAATTCCACTGTACTCTTATAAGGTTCCACAGGTCCGTTGGCCAAACTAAGGACACAGCTGTCGCTGGGTAAACAATAAATAGGCCATATAAATTTTTGCCAATGCCGGCTTATATTTTTGACTAATAAACAAATAGCTATAAAAGCGAATTATGAAGGACTCAGTTTATAACTGAATTAGAAGAACTTGCGTGCTTGGTTGCTGCTTGCCCTCTTTGGATGTGTGCTTTTGGCCACAGTTTCCGCCAATCCCGTCGATATTGATGAATTGAACGACGAAGATGAGGATAAAGGAATTGCAGATGAGAAGGAAAACTTTGAAGAGGATGAGGAAGACGATCAGGAAGCAGATACTTCCAAGTCCCAGGATGATTTAGATGCCTCTGGATCACAGGATGAACCAAAGAAAGATGTTGAAGAAGAACGCGACGAAAGCAGCCAAAATGAGGAAGACATCGAGTAGTTGTACTGAGAATTTATACCGACCTCTACCCATCCATTTGTTGATTTAGCTTACCCGTTTTATACCTTTTGTTAGAAGTTTAAACAACTGTTCACATAATTAAACAAACTTTATAAGCCATCTTTAGCCAATGTTTTTATATTTTTAAACAAATACGTTAAACTCTGAAAATAAAAAATAATCATAATAAATGTTTTTTACATATATATTTATTTGTGTACCTTGAAAAAATTTAAGAAACTTTGTTTTTATACCCTTGTTTTATACCCATTTTAGTCACCAGTTTGCAACGCAGTGAAGGAGACATTTCCGACCCTATAAGGGATATATATTCTTGTTCAGCATCACCAGGAGAGTCGATCTAGCCATGTCAGTCTATCTGTCCGTCTGTCCGTCCGTCCGTTTCTACGCATACTAGTCCCTCAGTTTTAAAGCTATTTGCTTAAAACTTTCCGAAAAGTTTTCTTTCTATTGCAGGTAGTGTATAAGTCGGAACGAGCCGGATCGGGCGACTATATCATATAACTCCCATAAGAACAATTGGAAAACAAATTCAAAAAAATTATAACTTTGTTGTTTTTAATTTTTTTTGTTGTTCTTTAGAATTTGGTATAATTTAAGTATTATAGAATTACGGGTTTAATTAAATTAAAATCGGACAACAATATCATATAGCTGCCAAAGAATCATTATTTTAGTAATAAAGGCATACAAATCGAAATGTAGTCGATTTGTAATAACTGCAAGGGTATATAAACTTCGGCTTGCCGAAGTCTGCTTTATTTCTTATTAAATTAATTTCTGAATTTTTTTCATTTGTTGAATTTTTTTTGGTTTCTTGAAAAAATTTAAGTTTTGCTGATTCATTTTTCGGCTTGAAATGCTTATCTCTCCCAGGAAATACCACGGCCACAACAAATGCAAAATATTAGAATGCTAAATGTGAATTTTGATAAGTTAATCCGGGAAGCAGAGAATTCCTTATATTTTATGGCAAAATAAAAGCACGGAAGTACAAGGCACAAAAGATATGAACGAGCTGAACCCCATTACATACTGTCCCTACCAAAATGTATCCTGGCAATTAAAAAATTATATCAAGATATTAAAATTGGTAATATCAAGTTAAAGATTTACTTAAAAACCTTACACTTGGCACTAATTTGTTCCTGATACATGGAACAAATTAGTGCCAAGTGTACGGTTTTTAGTAATATCTTAGCCTTTAAATTGTCTTCGGAAGTTTTGCAAATATCGGTGTAAGAAGTGCGGTACTCTATTTATTATACCCTTGCAGAGGGTATTATAATTTCAGTCAAAAGTTTGCAACGCAGTGAAGGAGACATTTCCGACCCTATAAAGTATATATATTCTTGATCAGCATCACCAGGAGAGTCGATCTAGCCATGTCCGTCTGTCCGCCCGTCTGTCCGTCTGTCCGTTTGTCCGTCTGTCCGTCCGTCCGTTTCTACGCAAACTAGTCCCTCAGTTTTGAAGCTATCTGCTTGAAACTTTCCCAAAAGTTGTCTTTCTATTGCAGGTAGTATATAAGTTGGAACGAGCCGTATCGGGCCACTATATCATATAGCTGTCATATAACTGAACGATCGGAAATGCCATAACTTTGGTGTTTTTAAAGTTAGGAAGTTGTGATTTTCTATGGGTTTTATGTTTGGCCAATCAGTCTGACCTACCAAATTTCATAAAGATCGGCCGACTATATCTTATAGCTGCCATATAACTGAACGATTGGAAATGCCATAACTTTGGTGTTTTTAAAGTTGGGAAGTTGGGTTTTTTTATGAGTATTAAGAATGCATCATATAAATTTTGGAGAATATAATTTACAGAATATTCTGCAAGGGTATATCAACTTCGGCTCCGCCCGAAGTTTGCTTTCCTTTCTTGTTTTCTATTTAATATCCAGATGGTTCAACTAACATACTTACGTCCAAAAAAAATATACCCATTTTTTCGTTAAAAAGGGGCACAAAATATGTTTCAGAATATATGGTAATTTCTTATCGGGAAGACCGTAGGGCTCTTTTTCGGTCGGCAAAGCTAGTGCAGAATTAGTACAATATAAGCTCTCGACTTGAAACGTCGAAAATATTTTAAAAATGCCTAAGCTAGCTGAGTTATTTTTGTTGTCGGCAGCAATGGTTTGCAATGGTTTGGTCCTGGTAGGATCCCAAGGACATCCGTCTTCAGTTTGCGTCCTTACAGACGCTCCGACTCAGTGCGGGGCCAAGCCGCGCTTAACCCTCTGATTGATGAGCTAGCTGATCTGGGGAACCAGTTTACCACTATGGCAATCGTTTGGGACAGAAAGCAACAAGAAACCAAATCAATGATGGACAAAAATCCAGAAGAAACAAAGCCAATCGGGTCGAAAAAGTGGCAAATCATTCATATGTATAAAACATGGATTGATGCTGAAGCTCATTGCCGTAGTTTGGGCGGCCACTTGGCGGACTACGAAAACATAGAAGAAATGCAAAAACTTATAGATCAAATGACCTTTTTCGACAGGAATTTTGACCAATTTTGGATAGGCATTAACGATCGGGAAAAGGAGAACGAGTTTGTATAAGTGGCCTCTGGCAAGAAAGCACAATTTTTGGATTGGGCCCGTGGAGAACCTAACAATTGGAACGACGAAGACTGTGTTAAGATTTATCATGGCAAAATTAACGATTGGGACTGCAACAAAAGACGGAAGTTTATTTGTCAGTATTACGACAAAAATTAATAAAATGTTATATTAATCTTAGTTTTACTTTAATTATTTGTATTGCTTTATTCCTTTTTGGTCTTGCCCCTTCTCAACTTATAGCCTCTTCTATCTACTTTAAAAAGAAAATTCGAAAAGTACAAAGAACGGTTTTCAGCTAATTGAATTTTATTTAAGCGAATCTACATGCTGATATGGACTTTGATTTCGCACATATTTAAAAGTACTCAAAATTGCTTATATTTTTATACCCTTGCAGAGGGTATTATAATTTTGGTCAAAAGAGTGCAACGCAGTGAAGGAGACATCTTCGACCCTATAAAGTGTATATATTCTTGATCAGGATCGCGTCCTGAGTTGAAATAAGCATATCCGTCTGTCCGTCTGTCTGTTTCTACGCGAACTAGTCTCTCAGTTTAAAAGATATCGAATTGATACTTTGCAGACACACTTCGGTCCTTTACACGCAGTATATAAATCGGAACGGGCGGGATCGGCCGACTATATCCTATAGCCGCCATATAACTGATTGATCGGAAAAGCCATAACTTTGGTATTTGAAAAGTTGGGAAGTTGGGATTTTTTATGGGTTTTGTTTTTGGCAATTCAATCCGACCTACCAAATTTCATAAAGATTGGCCGACTATATCCTTTGGTGTTTTTAAAGTTAGGAAGTAGGGATTTTTTATAAGTATTTAGAATGCATCATATGAATAATTTTGGAAAATATAATTTACAGAACATTCTGTAAAGGGTATATCAACTTCGGCTCCGCCCGAAGTTAGCTCTCCTTTCTTATTATACCATTGCAGAGGGTATTATAATTTCAGTCATTTCCGACCCTATAAAGTATATATATTCTTGATCAGCATCACCAGGAGAGTCGATCTAGACATGTCCGTCTGTCCGTCCGTCTGTCCGTCCGTTTCTACGCAAACTAGTCCCTCAGTTTTAAAGCTATCTGCTTGAAACTTTCCCAAAAGTTGTCTTTCTATTGCAGGTAGTATATAAGTCGGAACGAGCCGGATCGGGCCACTATATCATATAGCTGCCATATAACTGAACGATCGGAAATGCCATAACTTTGGTGTTTTTAAAGTTAGAAAGTTGAGATTTTTTTTTTGGCTAATCAATCCGACCTACCAAATTTCATAAGGATCGGCCGACTATATCTTATAGCTGCCATATAACTGAACGATTGGAAATGCCATAACTTTGGTGTTTTTAAAGTTAGGAAGGTGGGATTTTGTATGAGTATTAAGAATGCATCATATGAATAATTTTGGAGAATATAATTTGCAGAATATTCTGCAAGGGTATTTCAACTTCGGCTCCGCCCGAAGTTAGCTTTCCTTTCTTGTTTACTTAATCGATAATGGATTATAAAAGGATTATTTTCATAGTTTGAAATGATAAAAATATTTTTTTTAAATGAGGGGTACTAAATAGTATAGTCCATTAGATGTTAAATCGATTAAATATTTGCTCCTTATATTTCAAATATTGGCTTACTAAATAGAGTGCAGTCATTGCACAGTTTGCAAACAGAAAATTGTAAAGCAAACAAATTTGCATATAAAAGGCAAAGGCATTGGGAAAATTTTATAAGAATTTATTACTAAGCCGGAAAGATGCAATTTTTAATGGTACTTCTCCTGATTGGCATTTTGGCCATGACTTTTGTGGCTGCAAGCCCTTTTCCGGCACCAGATGGAGAAGTGATCATCATCGTTAACCAGCAAACACAAAGCCCAGAGGACTGGTATACTTCAAGTGGATGATGTTCCCTATAGCATCTCTGGCCCCTGGAATCTTCCCTCCCAATTCTTGTTAAACCCCTCCCACTAAGGCAATTGTTCAAATATAAAATGCGTACTTTACAATTTGAATAATAAAATCTATTCTGCAAAAAATTGTAATATTGACTCCGTTTTTATACCCTTGCAGAGGGTATTATAATTTCAGTCAAAAGTTTGCAACGCAGTGAAGGAGACATTTCCGACCCTATAAAGTATATATATTCTTGATCAGCATCAACAAGAGAGTCGATCTAGCCATGTCCGTCCGTTTCTAAGCAAACTGGTCCCCCAGAGTTAAAGTGTTCTGCAATCTGCAAAAGTTGTCTTTCTATTGCAGGTAGTATATGAGTCGGAACGAGCTTGATCGGGCGACTATATCATATAGTTCCCATAGGAACAATCGGAAAAAAACAATTTTTTAAATATACCTTTGTTGTTTTTAATTTTTTTTTGTCCTTTGGGATTTGGTAATATTTGAAAACTATAGAATTACATCTATGTATATAATATAGCTCCCATAGGTAAAAAAAAAAAAAAAACAATTGTTTTAATATTTTATTTTGCTGTTTATAAAAATATTCATTTGAGATATATCAGATTTACGCTTTTAGTTTTGTCAAAATTGGACATCAATATCATGTAGCTGCCATAGAAACGATGGTAAAATGCAGCGCGAAATCGACATAGCTTCATTGTTTTTAGTAATATAGGCATAGAAATCGAATTAGTCGTTTTGTAATTACTGCAAGGGTATATAAACTTTGGCTTTTGAGGGTTTTTTAATGATTCCACAAATATCTTCCAGCAATTAAGCATATTTTATAATATTTTATAAAACAATTTTATAATGTTTTCAATACTTCTACCTATTAAGGTTGGTAACCACTAATTTAAAAGTTTTTTGAAGAATTTTAATTTTTAATGTTTTGAAAATCGAAAACTAAAGTATTCTTATAAGGCCTCAAAGGTATGGTAGCCAAACGATTACGCACGACCTTTCCTTGTTTTTTGCCTCAAACCAAGGTAACAGCTGTCGCTGTGTAAACATATAATAAGCCAAATAAATTTTTACCTATGTCAGCTTATATTTGTTTGCTAATCAACGAATTGCTATAAAAGAGAATATTTACGGACTTGAACTCAGTTTAAAACTGAATTATAACGTGCGTGCCTGTTTGCTGCTTGCCCTCTTTGGATGTGTGCTTTTGGCCACAGTTTCCGCCAATCCCGTCGATATTGATGAATTGAACGACCAAGATGAGGATAAAGGAATTGCAGATGAGAAGGAAAACGTTGAAGGAGATGAGGAAGACGATCAGGAAGCAGATAAGTCCGAGTCCCAGGATGAGCCAGATGCCTCTGGATCACAGGATGAACCAAAGAAAGATGCTGAAGAAGAACGCGACGAAAGCAGACAAAACGAGGAAGACATAGAGTAGCTGGATTGAAAATTTAAACCGACCTTTACCCATCCATTTGTTGATTTAGCTTACCCGTTTTATACCTTTTGTTAGAAGTTTAAACAACTGTACACACAATTAAACTCACCTTATCACCCATCAATTCCAAACGTTATAATTTTGTTTACAAGTACATAAAACCCTGGATATAAATAATCATAATTGGTGTTTTTCATAAATATTATATACCATATAACAATGTAAAAAACCTATTTTATATGAAAACAACTGTTTTTGGTTATTTTAGTTGGATTCAGTTGTTTATATGTAAAACAAGTTCTAATGAAAATATGTTCTAAATTTGTTTTTAGTTTAACAAAGCTTGTTAGTTATCTTAACAGATGAAGGAATATAGAATAGTATCAAATGGTACAAATATGTTTTTAAATGATAGGTACGAAATAGTTTAGACCAATAGATTTTTTATCGATTAAATATTTGCTTTTTATTATTCAAATATTGGTTTACTAAATAAAGTGCAGTCATTGCACAGTTTGCAAACAGAGAATTAAAAAGACAAAAAATTTGCATATAAAAGGCAAGGGCATTGGGAAAATTTTATAAAAATATATAACTAAGCCGGAAAGATGCGTTTTTTAATGGTACTTGTCCTGATTGGCATTTTGGCCATGACTTTTGTGTCTGCAAGCCCGGTTCCGGCACCAGATGGAGAAGTGATCATCATCGTCAACCAACAACCACAAAACCCAGATTACTGGTATTATACAACTTCAATTGCTGCTTAACAGCTCTGGCCCCTGGAACCTCGTTTCACAAAAAAATGTGTCATTGTAAAACTATTGTCCAAATAAGAAATGAGTCCTTTAAAATTTTTAAAAGTTTGTTGATGAATGCTTTTCGATAAAAACAAAAACATTTTAGAAACCGCCATCTGCCGAACTGCAGTGCAAACACAGCAAGCTGAGAGCATAATGTCTTAATATGTCTTAAAAATTACATATACATATTGACCGAGTAAGTTTTTTTTTAGTGCGGTTTTAAAATATTCCGCCCAATAACTGAAGGTTATTACTTATTATTATAACTAAGGTGTTTTGTGATTTGTGGGCGTGGTAAACTTTTGATAAATAAACTAAGAAAACGTAGAATATTCATGCCAAGTCCGAAATCCCCTGGTCTTGTAGATTCCGAGATCTCTACGTTCAAACGGACGGATAGAGAGACGGACGGAGTGATCGACTCGGCTATTGATAATGATCAGAATATATATACTTTATAGGGTCGAAACGCTTTCTTCTACCTATTGCATACTTTCTAACAAATTCAATATACCCTTTTACTCAACCATTATATTTATACGTACATTTACGAATATTTTACAGATGTACAAATGTAATAGACATGTTAAACTGTTGATCCCAGGACAGCAATAAAATAAAACAAGAAAGGAAAGCTAACTTCGGGCGGAGCCGAAGTTGAAATACCCTTGCAGAATATTCTTCAAATTATATTCTCCAAAATTATTGATATGATGCATTCTTAATACTCATAAAAAATCCCAACTTCCCAACTTTAAAAACACCAAAGTTATGGCATTTCCAATCGTTCAGTTATGTATATGGCAGCTATAGAATATAGTCGGCCGATCCTTATGAAATTTGATATGTCGGATTGATTGGGCAAAAATAAAACCCATAGAAAATCCCAACTTCCTAACTTAACAAACACTAAAGCTATGGCATTTCCGATCAATCAGTTATATGGCAGCTATAAGATATAGTCGGCCGATCCTTATGAAATTTGGTAGGTCGGATTAATTGGCCAAATATAAAACCCATAGAAAATCCCAACTTCCTAACTTTACAAACACCAAAGTTATGGCATTTCCGATCAATCAGTTATATAGCAGCTATAGGATATAGTCGGCCGATCCTTATGAAATTTGGTACGTCGGATTGATTGGCCAAATATAATACCCATAGAGAGTCCCAACTTCCTAACTTAACAAACAGCAGAGTTATGGCATTTCCGATCAATCAGTTATATGGCAGCTATAGGATATAGTCGGCCGATCCCGGCCGTTCCGACTTATATACTGCGTGCAAAGGAAAGAAGGGTGTGTGCAAAGTTTCAATTCGATATCTTTAAAACTGAGAGACTAGTTCGCGTAGAAACAGACAGACGGACAGACAGACGGACAGACAGACGGACAGACAGACGGACAGACGGACAGACAGACAGACGGACAGACGGACATGGCTATATCAACTCAGGAGGTGATCCTGATCAAGAATATATATACTTTATAGGGTCGGAGATGTCTCCTTCACTGCGTTGCACACTTTTGACCAAAATTATAATACCCTCTGCAAGGGTATAAAAAGCTTTTAAAATAGCTTTTACATTGGTTTTTTAATTAAATGTATTTACGCTGAGGAATGACTTTTAATTTTTTATTTATTTAAATTATTTTAATGAATAATTTTAAAACAAAAACAGTTCAATTAATTTTTTTGAGCTATGCTATCCCCAGACTTTAAAAATTAACAAAATTTCCAATGAACATTCTAAAAAATGAGTCGTATGTTATTATTAAATGCATTACGCATTAAATAATAGATAACTGACTTTCCCTCTGGGTACTTACTAAATACATTTTAAGACGCTTACTCATGATTTGATTGTGCGAAATTGTAATTCAAATTTTTTGCAATAGTGGATAGTGCCGATAAAATTGAGCTGGCTTTTAGAATAAGCTATATGAGCTGTCAAGACGATTAACATAAAATAGTGCATATTTATATAGTTTTGTAATATTTTATTTTAACAGTTTTGCCGAGGATTTTATCCTATAGTATTTTAATTAGCATTGACCATTTTCAAGCTGTTCAATTACTGTAGTTATTATTGATCAAACATACCTTCTTAATTATGATCTATATATATGCAAGGTAATTTACAAACAGGAAATGTATCTACACACGATGCAACTAAATAATTGCACAACTTGTACTTAAACAAGTGATTGCGGGCTTTTCTATAAAAAGACGAACTATATCTTTTAAATGCAAGTTAAGTTTATTGAATTGGATCAGGATGCGCTTTATATGGATGTTCTGCTTGATTGCTCTGCTGTCCATGTCCTTGGTCACAGCCATTCGTTCTGAGGACAGCATTGGTGACATATATGCAAAGAAAGTAAAAATTAAAATATAAACTTTGAAGGGCCATTAAAGGTCTATGATCAAAGCATTCCCAGTTTAAAAGCTAAATTTGTTTAAATTTTTTTTCTTTGGTTATGGGCAAAAGTGGTTTCGTTATTGCAAAACATAATGACAAATCATCAAGTTGATTCTTGGAATATTAATAATACACAAAAATGCGTCATTAAAAAATATCATAAACAATTGTTTAAATACTATTCGAATAACAATAAATGATTCTGCCGAAATTCTGCGCACTTTTCGTATAAAAAGCGAATGATCGCGTAAAATCGGAGAGTTGTTTTGAACTTGTGAAGACCTAAACATTAAAAATGCGCTTTCTTGTTGTCGTTGGTCTTTTGGCCTTCTTGGCTGTTGGCCTAGTGGCTGCGCGTCCAACTGAGGATGAGGAGTCCGCTGTTCAGGAAAATACCAATATAGATTCTCCCAACAACAATGGTGAAGAAAACAATGATGAACCGAAACAGGATTCTGCTAGTGAGGAAAACCAGGAGGATCCCAATAGTGGCGATGATGACGAGATCAATGAAGATGACTTAGAAATTGATCCCAACACGGACGATGAGGAAGATAACATCGGGTCGCAAACTGTCGATGACAATCAGTCAAAAAGCGACCAGAAGGAGAATGAAGATGACTTAGACACAGATCCGAAAGGAGACGATGAGGAATATAACATCGAGTCGGACGACCAGGACGAGAATGCTCCACCCAAGAAGCAAACTTGAACGTATGTTCCCAGGATCGGAGCCAATGGACCAAGGCATGCCCTTGACTAAGCCTTCTATTCCACCGTTATAAAAATATGTTTTCTAAAAATAAAACAAGGATATTAATATTAAGTGTTGCAAAAATTAAGCCTTAATTAACTTATATGATGGCCCCAAGAAGAAACATTCATATTTGTAAGATTGTTAAGCTTTTAAGGAAAACGCCTTAAAGTATGTTTTTATTTATCATATTGTTTTCCTTGTTTCTCATTTACTTAATTGTGTTTGTCTTGTGCACTAGTAGTATTCACAAAAAAAAATCTTTCGATGTTAAATATATAGCTTATTACAGTCGAATATTATTATTTTTATGGAATTTTTTTACCAACACATTAATTCAGACCTAAATGACATTACACCTTAAATATTTATCTAAAACCCAGTTTAAATTTGGTTGCCGTCATAATTTATTTATTTATACAATTCATTGACGTATTAATTTATTTATCTTTTTGTGTTGGTTACGTAACAAATTTAATAATATTATATTGGTTAAAAATAATTCACAAACAAGAGAGAACGCTATAGTCGGGTGCCCCGACTATCAGATACCCGTTACTCAGGTAAAGGGAGTGCGAGGGAGATGGAGATAGAAACTTTGATCACGCATAACTTTTTAACGAATGGTTCGATTTGAAAAATTTCTTCTACATTTCGATAGGTATTGATAAACACAATAAAACTGCATTTTTACTTTTTTTTAATATTTAAATTTATCGTATATAAGCGATTGTGGGCGTTAAAGGGGGCGTGGCACCTTTTTGAAACAAACTTGCGCTGCGTAGGAACTCCTAGAATCTGCATGCAAAATGCCAATCTTCTAGCTTTTATAGTTTCCGAGATCTCAGCGTTCATACGGACGGACAGACGGACAGACAGACAGACGGACAGACGGACAGACGGACATGGCTATATCGACTCGGCTAGTGACCCTGATCAAGAATATATATACTTTATAGGGTCGGAAACGCTTCCTTCTAGCTGTTACATACTTTTGCACGAATACAATATACCCTTTTACTCTACGAGTAACGGGTATAATTATTACTAGACCTTTGTTAGATTTCGCTATTTAGCTTCAGTGCTATCCCTAAATCGTTTGGAAAATTACTTTTTCTCAATTCAAAGTACAAAATGTGTAAAAATAATACAAAATTCCACCTTTTGCCTTGACTATGGTCTTGAGACGGTCCAAAAACGAATCGCAAGCTGCCCGAATGTGACTAGCAGGTATTTTGGCCCACTCGCGGACAACGGCTTTTTTAAGCTTCTCGAGACTGGTGTATCTTTTAGTGCGGACCTTGCTCTCCAAAATGGCCCAAAGAGAATAATCCATCGGATTTGCGTCTGGTGAATTCGAGAGCCATTGTGTGGACGTTATGAAGTTTGGAACGTTGTTTTCCAGCCATTCTTGGTTCAATCGAGCTTTGTGAGATGGTGCCGAGTCCTGTTGAAACGTCCATGGTCTGTCACCAAAATGTTTGTCTGCCCACGGCTTCAAAGCAACTTTCAGAATACTTTCCCGATAATATTGCGCATTTATTTTGACGCCAGGCTCGATAAAAACGATTGGAGAGCGCCCATCTGCGGTTACAGCGACCCAATCCATTATCTGTGGCGGGTGCTGCCTCCTGGTGGCTAATCGATGACTCAAATTCTCGCATGAACGATCCGTCAAATAAACTCTATCGTTTTGAGAGTTTACGATTTAAAATGTAAATAATATAGAATTAATGTATAATCTTGTAACCTAAATTTTGTTATTCCCCTGTAATTTACAACCTGCTCAAGCTGCCACATAGGTAGCAGTATACCTGTTAAGTTTTGCAATAAATATACAATTTTTTTTACTTTTATAAAAAAAAAAAAAAATTGCTCAATTGTAAAAATTTTCTCGTCAGAAAACACAATGTCCGGAAGTTGACCGCTTTCGGCCAAGCGAAGCAACTCCTTCACTCTCTCAAGTCTGACTTCACGCTGCTTCGGTTCACTATCAGCAAAATGCTTTCGTACACTTGTAAACAATACTCTAAGCTGTCATTTAGCTAAGTTACAGACAGCTGATGCCCGTGCGTCAGCTGAGCGAGCGGTCTGAAGTTGGTTACACTTCGAGTGCCGGACCCTGTACTATGCGTTGAAATGGAGAGACGGACATGGCACTGCGTTGCAAAGTTTTGACTGAAATTGTAATACCTAAGGCCGAAAAAAATATAATTTCAAAATAAGGTGAAAAACTTGTTACATTTTTATAAGTGGTATAGCCATGCAGTATGTATAGCTTTTGATCAATAGATCGGTTTTATCGTCAGGTGACGATGTAAACACATATTTACAGATTAAAACTGCAATACTAATTTGCAAATATGGCGAAATAAAAATTGCACAGCTGAGCAAGTAAGACTTCTCCAAACAAATATAAATATTAAGTTTTTTTTTATAAAAAGGTAACATTTTAGCTTAGTGTCCAGATAATTTCAAGATGATTCAAATGCGGTTCTTAGTAGTTTACGCCCTGGCGGCTTTTCTGGCCATTTCCGTTGTAACAGCATTTTTTCCATCCACAGTCAGTGGAAGTGACCAAGGAAACTCTAGTGATCAACCGGTTATTCGACCAATTCCCTGGTGGCCCAGATGGGGTGGTATCGGTCCAGTTGTTTTAAATACAGCCCCAACCAAGGCATCGACATGAACCCTTTTAGATAAACCTACTGTATTGTTTAAAAGCAAAAGTCAAACACATAAACACCCCCGCTTGTAAAACTTTCCACCGAGGCAATTGTTCAAATACCAAAAGCGTAAATAAAGATTTCTGGCAAAATCTATGAATCGACCAAAATTTGCCAAACTTTTCCTATAAAAAGCTGGGGGCTGTGTGAAATTGGAAAGCAGTTTTCGTAATAACTTCTGACACTCAAGTTTAAAATGCGTTCCCTAATTTTCGTTGCTCTTTTGGCCTTCCTGGCTGTTGGCTTTGTGGCTGCCCGTCCTGCTGAGGATGTGCAGGCGACGGAGAGTACAGATCAGGATTTGACTGCCAATGATTCATTGGTTGGTGGAGAAGAGAAGTCCGAGGGATCCACAGACGATGAAACTGAAAAATCCGCTGGAGAATCCACTGATGATACCGACAATGAAGAGACCGATGATGAAGAGACCGATGCTGAAGAGACCGATGATGCTGCCGCCACCACTGCTGCTCCAGTCAAGAAGGAAGTTCGTGTCTTCTGGCCCAGGTTCGGAGGTCATGGACCAGTTGTGATCAGGCGTCATCCCGGCTTTGTCCAGGCCTAAGCCCTCTAAACTTTCTTTATAAACCTGTTTTTCATACTTCTCTCTCTTCTCTAAATAAATAAACTTCATTTTCAAAACTTAAATTGGTTTAAAACAGTTGTTTCCAATGACGCGCTGAACAGTTTTGTTCAAAACGTTGAAAAAATGCGTGCCTTGTGTGTTCTAATTCTGATCGCCTTTTTGGGTATAGCCCTGATCTCCACAAAGCCATTTAACGAAACAAGAAATCGGGAAGAAGGAAAACCGCTTAATAAAACGGAAATATCTAAAATAATGGAGGAATTGAAGTTACTGGAAAAATTGGCCAACGAAACATATTATTCACCAGATCCAACTAATAAGGAGGCCAAAGAGCCAACGGCTGAGGAACTTAAAGATCCGACTGGGGAGGAAACACAACAACCAACTGGTGAAATTGGAGAAGATGGAGAGATCATAGTGCAGGAGGAAGAAGAAGAAGATGATGCCACTTTGGATAAGCCCACTGATGCGCAACCTGCGAATTTTCTCAAATATCCCGCCCATGAACCCGACTTTAAGGCATATCCACGGTTTGCCATACTCAGAAATGGTTATGTTCATCACATGAATTTGAATTTTTAGTGTACGCTTTGAATCACAAAATAAATGACGTGTACCTAAGCACAATATCAACTTATTTTGTTAGACGGGAAATTCCGACGACCGTTAAGTTTACACAGCTGTGACTCTAGACAAAAGTTAGAACTGTACGAGTTTGTTTTTTTGAACTTATACCTTCAAGCAGTTTGCTCCCAACCACGCATTTGAGTAGTTTCACACATTCAACATGCGTCCGTCATTGCCATTTTGGTCGTGTATGGGTATTATTTTGATATTTGCGTCAATCACTTGTGCTGAATCATCTGGAAAGTCCCGAAATCGAGAAGATCGTTTTGATCTGGAGAACGAGAGCGTTGAAAGTAGGCAGAGCGACGAGCCCATTGCCTCGTGTGGAAGTTCTGAGAATGTGGAGGACAATAGTTGCAGGCAGAGTGAAAACAAACACCCCAAGCGCAAGACCTTTCGATTTGCAATTTAAGAATAATATTCGATTTTAATAAAAATTAATTGAAGAAAATAAATTAATGTTTGTTTACATATGAATGTTTTTTAAGGGGTTTACAAAATAATAGGTTTACAATATAGTTTTATTCAAGATGAAGAAATTATTATAATACCCTTTTATTGATTATTGATTTTCCTACAAAAAAGTGGTCCTATAAGTCTTAAAATATATGCTCCAAATAGTTGACAAACTTGGCAAGAAGTCACAATGGTTGAAAAAACTTTAAAAGGGCTAACGTAATTGTAAAAAAATTATTTATTTTTGAATAATATAAAAGTAGTATTTTAATAGTTGTACAAAACTGTAATTCAAAAATTGTATCAAGTTTACTTGAAACTGTTCGCTTAAATTAATGTTTGTCTGTATTTGTTTCTAGTGAATTCAGCTCACCGCCAACATGGTTATGGTTAGTTCAGCGGTCCTGGGAGCCGCCGCCGGTACTGGCCTGGCTTTGATCCTGGCCGTGACAATCGTCATGTACCGCTACTACCTCCTGCGTAAGCGCGGCAAGGAGTGGGACGAACTGGACCGCTGGGAGGAGACCCGCATAATGCGAAAGCTGCAGATGAAGGTAGGTGGCTGACGCAGGCTGTCAACGCTGATGTGATTGCGGCTTAGGCGGCTAGAGACTCCCCGTGGGGATGCAGATTCAATGCTGACACTACCAGGCCCAAGTGAAATGCAATGGAGCAAGAAGTTGGTTAACTGGCGTGGGAGGACAAGCCGGTGAAAATAACATAGGTCAAATGTATTTTGAATACAGTTTACGAGGGTGGTGCAAGAACAACGACCCCACAAACGGGCTAAGTTCAAAAACAATTTATTATGATTTATCATTTTAATAAAACAAAAATACTGGGAATCAATGTAGAACCCATTCTATACTTACATTACAGTGGCGCCACTATTTCAAATGAGTCCGGCGGTTATATTCAGAACTACCACATTCTACATATATCTTACATGTATGTAAATAATACCATGAATTATTTACTTGATTATTTTTATATTATTCATTGACGTGTTTTTATATAAGCTTTGGAGGCTTATGCGAATATATTAGAAATTCATAAATAAAACTTCACACCGCCAAATCAAATGAAAAAAATGGACATACACTCTATGTGATTGAAATAAGAAGAAATAATTTGAAGGCTTTTATATATGCGAACATATTAAAAAACAAGAGAGAACGCTATAGTCGGGTGCCCCGACTATCAGATACCCGTTACTCAGGTAAAGGGAGTGCGAGGGAGATGGAGATAGAAACTTTGATCACGCATAACTTTTTAACGAATGGTCCGATTTGAAAAATGAAATGATAAACACAATAAAACTGCATTTTTACTTTTCTGAAATATTTAAATTTTTAAAATCGTATATAAGCGATTGTGGGCGTTAAAGGGGGCGTGGCACCTCTTTGAAACAAACTTGCGCTGCGTAGGAACTCCTGGAATCTGCATGCAAAATGCCAATCTTCTAGCTTTTATAGTTTCCGAGATCTCAGCGTTCATACGGACAGACAGTATATATATAGGGTATAGGGTATATTGTATTCGTGCAAAAGTATGTAACAGCTAGAAGGAAGCGTTTCCGACCCTATAAAGTATATATATTCTTGATCAGGATCACTAGCCGAGTCGATCTAGCCATGTCCGTCTGTCTGTCTGTCCGTCTGTCCGTCTGTCTGTCCGTCCGTATGAACGCTGAGATCTCGGAAACTATAAAAGCTAGAAGATTGGCATTTTGCATGCAGATTGTAGGAGTTCCTACGCAGCGCAAGTTTGTTTCAAAGAGGTGCCACGCCCCCTTTAACGCCCACAATCGCTTATATACGATTTTAAAAATTTAAATATTTCAGAAAAGTAAAAATGCAGTTTTATTGTGTTTATCATTTCATTTTTCAAATCGGACCATTCGTTAAAAAGTTATGCGTGATCAAAGTTTCTATCTCCATCTCCCTCGCACTCCCTTTACCTGAGTAACGGGTATCTGATAGTCGGGGCACCCGACTATAGCGTTTTATCTTGTTTCAATTCAAATGATTCTGTGATTAGTTACGATTTACGCCGCAAACCACATTTTTTTCGAGGTGCCGCCGGAGATTATTTATATCTCACTCACTTTTCAATATTATTGGATTCAAATTTTCACACATATTGTTTAAATGTTGTATTATCACATGGAAAAATATGGGAAATTTCAATGAGACTATTCTTATCGCCAATAAAAATTTGTAAAAAATTAGACAGTTCGAATGCATTTCAATAAAATTTTTTTCTTATCTATCACCAAAAAAGAGATACAAATGTGTGTGTTATTTAATAATGAATCATGCAGAATATTAAATTAATTATTTATAATTGTGGTCTTGTTAAATGCAAAGCCAGTTTTTGATATCTATTAATCACAACGCAGAAAACTGCGTTGGGCAGCCATCTTGAATCCGTGGGAAATCCAAAGGATCGCCGACCACCACAAGGATACAAATGTGCTGTTGTCCGTGCGAGCGGCTGCAATCGAATGAATAACACAGCGCAGTCTCTGAGGCCGTATCAAAATCTGTTTCATTATGCATTTGATATACCCCGGCCATCCGCCGGATCTGGAGGGTTGTTCCGATTCGAAATCCTACCTTGTTTCCATGGATGGCGACCTAACCCAACGCGTGCTGGCGGATGGGGAGGATCAGTGAAGCGTTTTATGATTGCAAATGCTGTTTTTATTAACTAACTGGCTTCGGTCGTTGACAGCGGGGGTAAGTGGTGGACTTAAGGGTGCTAAGCGTTTCTGGTTTCGTTTTGTTTGCTATTTATTATATAATTTGATTAGACACTTAAACACTTAAGTGTTTTTTCGGTTTGTTGGGGTGGCTCTCTCAACATTCTCCACTCCAGATCTCTCCCTCTTTGGCGTACACTCCACACCCAAAACAAGCCCTTCAAACTAGCCACAACATTGACCACAATAAAAAGGACCTTCGAGTGTCCTGATTAATAGCATTGTGCAGCAGCCTTGACCCCAGCTAAAAAAGAAGCATATAAACCTCCATCTAAATGGCGGGCCTTGTCCTTCTTTTTGTTGAGTTTCGCCTTACCTGCATTTTTACCTTGCGAGGATTGCCCTTCTCGGACAAAGGACGAAACTAAACTGCAGATCACTGCAAGTGCGGATTGTGTGAGGGTCCTTTCTCGGGTGTCCTTTGTCCAGCCACTGACTTTTCATTCATGAAAATAATACTCGACAAATAAAATGAAAAAGTTCCTTTTGTTTTGGTTTGTATTTTTAACATTTGGCGGTGCAATACTTTGATATTTGTTTTCTATACTTGGAGAACCGATAGGAATAACCAACATTCTTTTGCTTACAGTTGTCACTTATTTTTTGTAATTTATTTATTGAAAACCATTCATCAAATTTATATATAAACTAAATAATTTCTTTATTCAATTAGAATTGATTACTTGTATATCAAAAGCTTATCAATAAGAATGACAACATTTGACCTGAATATCCATTTTGTAAACACCATAATTCAATACATTTTGGTTTTGGAAACAGTTTATAAGTTTGTGTTTGTAGTCTTTGTTGATCAAAGTTGCTGAAAACTAATTTTTGGAACATGTTTTTAAAACCTACCAATCATAAGTAATTATTTTTCCTCGATACTCGAGCTTAATAACAATTTATTCATGTATAATATTAATTGCTATCTTAAATGTTCCATACAATTACATCACATTTTTATTATATTTTTAGATTTCTTTACATTCAAAGCGGAAATTCCTTATTTTAGATATCTGGTCTTGAAACTTGTTTATTCGGTAATATAACTTAATTTTTCACAGTACAGAAATAATAACCATTGAAATATGCAACCAATCCTATATCAAGTTTCCCGAAGCAATCCCTGAGGCCTATTGACTCAGTAACACGCAGAGAGGCCAGACTCAACCTCAAAGCTCATTCGTAAATTATTCAGGGGTAAATAATAATTTATCCGAGCACATGCATTTGCCTATATGAAACTGCTTCGGATATAATGAAGTCATATTTGTTAAATCAACAAATTTACAAGCCGAGAGAGTGGATAAACAAACCCTTGGCTAAGTAGCAACAATGGCAACTACAACAATCAGTCAAAATGCAAATGTCACAACCAATTAATGTCAATAAATGATTAACCCAATGCCCAGCTATAAGGGTTTCAAATACCCTCGACGGTGGTGGTTCACTGTTCGTATTCTTTTCGAAACACCCCTTTAATGGGTAAATCCGGTTTGAAGTTTTCCCCGGCTCAGTTAGTTTTGCGTTGTATCCATATCAAAAAGTGAGGGGAAGTAAACATTTCGATATGCTTTCATTTGTTCAGCGTTTAGGCGAGTTTTGTTCACAATTAAATTGAAATTGTTCGCTTGAATGAATGCGATGCTATCTTGTAGAAACGTATTTCTGTTCCAAAAATTTCCATATTTCCAAATCCGAAACATTTGTTTTCTTTATAAGCCAGAGACAAAGTCTAAGTCAATAGCACGATCTAATTCTGAAAGAAGGAAACCGACTCAATCGAGCGTGAAATAATCGCAGACAAAAAACGGAAGTGGTCAATGGAGAAAATCTCAAGTGGCCCAAACAATTGGTCAAAGGACCTCTCGCACGAGACCAACGCAACGCCCAAAGAGAAGAAATTCCAGCAAAAATATTAACACAACAGCAGCTGCTCTGGATCTCGATAAATTGACCAGGGTCCTGCGCCGTTCCTTTTCATTTTTTTTGCACGTCCCGCCAATTAAGCAGAAGCCAACACCTTAAAAAGTAGGCGAAAAAGTAGGCGAACAGACGGATCGCCTACGAAGAAGTCGGTCGACAATTAACAATTAACGTCAGCAATTGTGATCCGTTTTATAGCCACTTAACATACGATCAACTGCCAGGACATTGACAATGCCGCACCTCGGCACAAAGCCATGAAAAGGACAATTATAGGTAAATCCTTAAAGTCAGTTAACAAATGATAAAACTGCCGCCATAATTCTGTGTAATGTAGCCCAAAAACAACATTCGGCGACCGACTGTCTGGCTTAGATGGCCTGACCTGGCCCAAAACACACACAAACAAAGGCGCAACGTGCGTCGTGTCTGGGATTTGTCAAAGGACTGCATCCATGAATGGGCCGATCCCGTCCTGAATGGATGATCCTTGCCGCATTGTTCCTCGGTAGTTGCACAAGCAGAAGAAAGCATCAATAAAATTACGCCAAGGCGAGGACTCAAAGGAGAGATATTTCTGAATGTGCCGGAGGGACCTTAAATCGGGAGTTGGAGATGTAGAGGTAAGAATCGGGATTTCGGCAGCGACCACTTGGGCCATAAGTTGCCATGAAATTGGCATTAAACGGTATGAGGGCTTGCATTTTCCAATGGTTGTAAAATTAATCGATTCGATTGTGGAGGGTCACTGAAGAGGTTCTCTTTTTATGCCATAAATCACAAACAAGATGTGGGGCAAAAGTCTTGGGTATTGAGCAGATGATTTCGTAAATGCATATCTCAAAAAAGAATCATTGGGATAATCCTAAGAACATTTCTTCGATAATTACCATAATTCAAAAGTGAAGAGTGGTTGAATTTGAAATAGTTTTAAATATTGGGAAATTTTAATAACTATAATTGCTAAACTATATAAATAAATAAAGATAAGCGGAATGCAATTAAAGATTTTTGATTCTAAAATATTACAATGCATTTTATTTCCAATGGTTTTAAATGCATATTATATGAATATAATATAACAAACGATTTAATTTATTTTAAAATGCTGTAAATTAGGATTATATTTTATTTAAAAAAGAACTAATAAAGAAAACAAAATAAACTGCTAAATAGTATAAGAAACGCATGCTACTATTGTGCGCAAAGACCTTTACTTAATGGATTAAAAACTTCTAAAAAAAAAAAGATTCATGAATCAAATGACTGTCCTAAATTACAATTTTGATAAATGTGTAGTATATATTTGTATTTTTAAAAGTATTTAATTTCAATTACTCAAAAAAATGTAAATTAAATTGCATTCAGATATTTAATGCATGTATTTAAAAATATTGAAACACCTTTCATTTTAATATAGGTACTTAAAATATTTAAATTGATTTTGTTTTATACATTTTAAATTCTTCACAATCTTAATTAATTTAATACCAATCTGAAGCAAGTAATTAGATGTATCTTACGCTGAACTAATTTGGTTTCGTTTAAAAAGCTTTTACGCACTCTCCTCAACTTTCAATTAAACTCGAGTGATAATACGAAATGGAAAAGGAAGATTCGTTCCGCAAGGATACGGCACACAGCACGCACACACCCAAGCCTACTCACACATGCACCCGGGGTTCGCCATTGTTCCTTCACACAGATACAGTGAGGCATCGCTTACCTGCCCTTTGTGAGCCATTGTGAGTGATCGAACAAGGGCGGAGCGTAAATGGCAACAGTTGCCGCTAAATGGTGACTAAATGGCCGAACAGACTCGGGGCAAACAACCCTCGAATTGGCCTCAGGGGTGGGTAAGTGGAAAACCAACCCCCGGAACAGGGTCTCGAGGTATATAAGGCCCGTGAGGCCCAGCAGCCAGACAGTCTCGCACAGTCAGCGATCGTGTTCAGTAGCTCATCTCGAAGTCAGTCAGAAAACGAAATTTACGAAAATGTCACGCTCTTTTTTGATGGATTCCCTGCTCAGCGATAGGCCCAATCTGAGCCAGAAGAAGGAGAAACTGGGATCACCAGGAGCAAGTTCCTCGGCCGCGGCTGCAGTGGCCGCAGCTGCCATGTTGCCCTCGATACCCATGCTGCCATATCCAGCCAGTTATGTGGGCAGCTATCTCTTCTCCCTGGGCATCCAGCAGCAGCAACAGCAGCAGCAGCAGCAACACCAGGCTGCTGCCGCAGCAGCCGCAGCAGCAGCAGCAGCTGCCTTGCAGCAACATCCCCATGTCAGCTCCAGTCCCGGCTCCCTGTATCACCCATATGCCCAGCTGTTCGCCACCAAGAGGAAATCCAGCGGCTTCAGCAACTACGAAGGATGCTATCCATCGCCACCGCTGTCGGCCAATCCCAACAGCAACACCCAGCAATTGCCGCTGCATAGCCTCTATGGATCTCCAGTTGTGAATGGCCTTCCTTTACCCGAACCCGGCAGCTTCTGCACTTCTCCTTCGGCCTCTTCGTCGGCCTCCCTGGATTACACCAACCACTTTGACGAGCCCCAGGGAAAGCGGTTCAAGCACGAGTCCTCCTGCTCGCCCAACAGCTCACCCCTCAAGATTCCGTCTTCGGGAGTACCCACGGAAATCACACCTCTGATCAACGACTATGCCGACTCCAGCAAAAGGATTCGCACCGCCTTCACCAGCACCCAATTGCTGGAACTCGAGCGGGAATTCTCGCACAATGCCTACCTATCCCGTCTTCGTCGCATCGAGATCGCCAACCGGCTGCGTCTCTCCGAGAAGCAGGTGAAGATCTGGTTCCAGAATCGCCGAGTCAAGCAGAAGAAGGGCGGTTCCGAGAGTCCCACATTCAATCTGTCCACCAATTCCAACGGAAGTCCTCAGGCTTCTCCGGTATCTCCGCAAATCAACGTACACGAGCTGAAAGTGGAGGCGTAGGAAAATCTACAAAAAGAATTTACCAATTGTACAGTAGAAATTAGTCTGTTGTTAGCCTTAACTATGTTAAACTAAATAAATTGTAATCAAAATGAAAACTCATGTTTTTGAAATATTAAGATGAATTTACAAAAAGGGGTAATACAAGATCTAAACTATTGGCCAAAAATCTCAATTTCTTGAAATAGAAACAAATCAAAATTCAATTTTAAAGGTTTCAAATATCAATTGCAAGCATCTAGCTTAAATACTAATCAAAATTCTGAATTTATTTAAATAGCTTCTAAGCTACATGTTATAGTTTGAGATCAAAATTTTGAGTATATTTTTTTTTATTACTTTAAAATGGTCATCCTATTTTCAAATAAAAACTGTCAAATTTAAAATAGATAGAAAGTTTTAATTATTTAGAAATAAAATGAGCTAAATGCACATACATTCTCCAAAATACTGACGAAATATAAAATTACTGAGTAACCCTTGAATACTGTCAGCACTGAGCTAAATGCACATTTATTCTCCAAAAATACTGACTAAATACAGAATTACATGGCAACCATTTAATCAAAGCAAGCTTGGATATTCACTTCATAAATTGTTCTGTCATTACAAACGAACCAAATTTTACAAGCTGAAAATTTAGTCGTCGCTAAGCCTTTGATGTGATCATGTCGAACCTGTACACCGAACTGAAGAACGAGTGGAGCAAACATGCCCCGAATCTGGCCCACTGCTCCCAACTCCTGGATGGATTCAAACTGGAGCTTGTGAGGTCCAACTTCGGAACCATTCAAGTGGCATCGAGTTCGAACCAGAAGGACCAACTGATCAAATCCCGAGAGATGCTGGAGATTGCCGTGGAGCACAGCATCACAATCAGGGACTACGCTGCTTTTGAGAGATACATGGCCCAGTTGAACACCTACTACTACGACTACGATAAATATTTGGAGTCATCCAAGCACATGCACAAGTTCATGGGCCTGAATCTGCTCTACATGCTGGCTACCAATCGCATTGCTGATTTTCACATCGAGTTGGAGCGTTTGCCGTCGACTTTGTTGCTTCACAACAGCTTCATTAATCCCGTTTTGGCTCTGGAGAACTACTACATGGAGGGGAGGTACAACAAGATACTGCAAGCCAAGAACTCCATGCCGTCGGTTATCTATTCGAACTTCATGGACATGCTGGTGAACACGGCTCGCGAGGAGATCGCATCCTGCATGGAGAAGTCATACCTCAAGATGGCTCCCAAACAGGCTGCCCAGCGTTTGGGACTTCGTCCTGGATCTAAGGAGCTATTGGACCTGGCCCAGAGGCGTCATTGGGATCTGGATGAGGAGGGAAACTACGACTACGCCGGACTACATACCAGACCATTGGAGAAGGTGCCTGCCAAGGACATTGCCACCCATAATCTCACCTATGCCCAGGAGCTGGAGAAAATTGTTTGATATTTTTCATTAGTTCGATTCTTTCCGTTAATCCAATCACCCAGAAAATAATATTCAGAATTTATACGTTCATCGAGAAATCAGTAAATACCGAACCGGAAATTTGTCAGATTTAATTTTTCACACATCTCAACGGATTCTCTTTTTTGGCATAAAATGGGCAAAAATTGAGTTGCTCAGATGACCGATAAGTCGACAGGCCTGACAAATTGTCGGATAGGAAATGTTTTCTGGGCAAATCTCGTTTGCAAATCTGTCATAGGATGATTGTTAGAAGAGCTTAGTGAGTGGCTGTTCAGAAGGATGCTTGCACATCCCTGGAGATGATGTCCATTGGAAGGTAGTTAGTCCTGAAAAGGCGATTATTTGGTTTCTGTTAAAAAGGAGTTGCCACAAATATTTTTCATGGCAATATGTATGAGATTTGAATCATTCAAAAATTAATTTATTATTTATTTAAACGGCTCTATGTATACCTAATTATTAAGTAACTAATGCGTTAACTAAATTGTATAAATAACCATGAATTTTCATAGTTAATTGTTGGGTTTTTAAAAATTCCCCTCATGAAATTTGCTTCTATTTAAACATTACAACAAATTTTTTTGATACGCATTTTTTGGCGGGGACATCTAATACAATTTTTTTCAAGTACGTTGAGAAATTGCCGAAACATTTGAATGTCCCGTTAGGAAATTTGTTCCGCAAAGATATAAAAAAGTCCCTAGGCGAATTGTGTGGTCTGCCACCTAGATTTAACCGCAAATGGTGACACCTTATCATTTTTGTCAAATCATTGAAAATTCTAATTAATCAAGGACACAATTTGCCGAGGAGTGGGGAGAGTTTTTAAGCATTTCCCACGACACTTCAAATTGCACAAATTGATGATGCCAAGTCGGGCGATGCTTTAGCGTAGATATGGCAGATATTTGTCCAAAATCAGGATGGGTGACAAACCCAAAACGAATCAAGCGCAACAAAACCTGCCCGAGCCGACTCATTCAGCATTCATTGAACGGCGGACAATTCCTCAATGGGTCCTCTAAGTTGGAACCGAAACGAGGACTAACTCATCCTTTTGTCCGATCCCAAGGGGTGCGGTGCTAATAAACGCAATTGCACCTACGCCCCTCTGGGCCTCCGGTCCGAAAATGGAAATCGGAATGCCAATGGGCAAAATAGCCCAGTCGGCGGTTTTAAACGGAATTTCGGCATTCCATTCTCTTTGCTATTCCCGAAAATTGGGACTCCCTCTTACCTGGTCGAAGTCCTCGATCGTTATCTAGTCGAGTCCTCGGTGTCTTTGCTCAAGTGTGCGCCTCTTCCACTTGAGCTGAAGAGCTCGGCCCTTGAGTTTGAAGTGCTGAATCAGCAGGTAGGATTCCTTGACTCTTTTCAGGATATGTTATTTTTTTGCAAATTCATTCAAGGAGCGTAGTGAAAATTGTTGTGCCAAATGTGTTACGCAGTCTCGGTGATCTTTATCAGATGGATTTTTATTGATTCTTTCAAAATCACAGATAGCATTTAAAATAAGTCAAGTGGATATTAGGACTGTAATTGGGAAAATTGCATGGGAACTGAATTAATGGATGATAATATTAGGTAAAGAACGAGTAGAGAATATTAAAAAAGCTTAAATCAAGAACAAGTTTAAATAGTTCACGCCCTGCTAAAACTATTTAATATTTCATATTTACTAATAATAATACTATACCCCGAATTAACCTAAGCCCCCTTAAAGCCATTTACATATATTTAATTAATATTTTCGCATTTACATTTTGTATAATCTCATTCTTAGACGGAAAATAAATCTCCTAACTAAACGATGCTACATTTTCAAAAGCATTCAGCGCACTGAAATATTTTTTCAACAATTGTTTCTGTAAACAAATTTGCATACACCTTTTCTCTGTAGGTCCTACATTTTGAGTTCCCTTAGCCAGATGTCTTGCCAACTTTCGAATGCCCCGCTGATTCCAAAATGCCTCGCCGTGTCGAGCTCCCGCCTCGCAGACACTTCATGAATGAATACAGCTCAAGTGCAGAACCTCTTCAGTTTAAAGTGGAATCTTTCTTGTTGAATCGCTCTCATGAATGAATGCGCTGCACTGCCTGCGTCAAGGCTGGGAAATTCCCCCAGGCACTTTGGGCCTGTTAAAAGATCATTAGGCCAACGCTTCTGGCTAGAACAAATGAAATTCCATTGAAAATTGGCCGTTTACCTGAAAAAGAAGAAATTTGTCAGGTGTTCAGTTCTGGATTCTTGTCTAGACAGTCTGTCTCCAAGGCATGGAAAATCCTCAAGTTCCCTGTGGTGCAACGGTTGTGGTCTGAAGTATTTTATTTAAATATTTTCCAATTTTAGCCATGAGGGAATTCTGAGTTAAGAAAACCAAGGGAAATTCCAAAAAGCTTTGGGGGCTTTCCCTGTGAAACTTTTAGTACTCCATCCAATGAACTTTCAGGACATAAAGTTTTGTATTTGCTCAATTTTCCTCCAGAGCTTCAAAGCTTTTGCAGCTTTTTGGGGGGATTCCTTTTTGTTTGATTTCAGGGTTAGACTTTGAGTATTTGGGGGCCATTGGGTTATTATACGGTGAGCAATAAAACAACTACAGACTGAGGTAAATCTAAGCTGGCAATCCAAAATCCTTTAAGCTTATGCAAATGAGAGCGTGCACACAAAATAAATAAATTAACTGTATGTGCTTATGTGTTTGTAGTAGTCTGGGGGTTTTTGTGCTGGTCAAGCAAAGGTAAACATGGTCTAAATGGGCTTTGACTTTGCCGTAAAGTTCTGTTTTTTATTTTGTTATTTTTAATAATTAGTTCCAGCGAAACGGCTTCCGGTATCCTTGTTTTGACCTAGATTAAGCACATATTTATGGCAAATTTACCCTTAAAAATCCTAGTGGAAAACGCCGATGTTTCTGGGTCACGCAATCGGGGACTTCTCCCCTACGCGCGATATGTGGAACCAGCTAATTGACCCATTAAAGGGGCCTCTAAACATTGTTGCTCCTTGGAGTGCTTTTTAGGTCGCAGGATGTGTGAAACCATAAAGTTGTCCGCACTTAAAGCAATTATTTTCGTGGTTTTCTTAGCGCGTTTTTGGATTTCTTCAAGTAACGGGCGGAAACCCTGGATCTTTTAGACTAATGAAACCTGAAAAATACAATTTGGGATTGTCCAACGAATGTAACATGTACAGCTACCATTTGTGTGGCCTTGAAAATAAAATGATACGATGAAATTGGTTTTCAAGGAAAACAATGCTCCAGCTTCCTTTCTCAAATTTCATTAAAGTTTTCCAACTGTTTGGGAACTCTGTGTGTCCTCTTTCAATTATTCCCAAGAATGCCAGTTTCTAATAATTATTCCTCCATAAAAGATTTCAATTTGCTCAGCATCCCGCAGCTTCTATCTCCCACCAGCTTCCATTTAGGGCAGTTTTTCACCTACTCGTAATCGGTTGTCCTAGAAGGATATCTGGAGCCAGGACGTCATCGTCCTTGGCCACACTGTGCATTGTATTTAATGAACTTGTTGGTAACGGTACAGGGCTCATCATCAGCACGTTGACTTGGCCGGGAATACGACCTGGGATCCGGGGGTCTGGAGCGGAACGATGGGGCCATTTCTGTGGCGCCCCACAGTCGTCGAGTGGCGCCTGTTTAAAATGAGTTTTCTCGCTTCGTTATGCAACTGACGACATACTAGGCATTGAAAGAGAATACACTAAGCAGAACGACACTGATATGACAACTATAATTTACTTCTAGTTTATTAATCGCCATCTCATAGTTCACATCTTAAAACTTTTTTTTAAATTGCATTTTTCCATAAAGAATTTAATTCAATGGTGTTTGAATATAAGTGTTAAATAAACATTTAATGTTATTCATGAATTAGTTTTAGTCGGAAAATATAATTATATTTAATATTTATGTTGTTACATTTTAGAGGGCCTTTGAAGTCTATCTTTTTTTCATTAAAAAATTTTGATTTTCAAAAAAAAATCCAGTTCTGTTGCATCACTGTCGACGCCAGTGGCGATTAACACTTTAGTTCTATTTGAAGCATAAATACCATTTAGTAAATAGGTTCTTAAAGAAATTTCGTTCATTCATAATGAAAAGTTATTTAAAACAACCTAAAATTTAATCCAGTGGGAGTACTACCATATTTTTTTCAGTGGCGAAGACAGCCAAGCAAGAAGAATAAGATAAACATACGCACAGGACTTTCTGCTCAGGACGATGTAATTATGATTGGAGCATATGCCAGGAGGCGCCTACACACTGTGAGGACATTGTCCTATCTCTCGGCCGTCCCAAAGGATACCGATGGCCAAGTGAATTTACATATGGCGAGGTATCAACAGAAATATATATGTGGATCTGTTTATGTGCGTATAGATTACAAGTGAAACTGAATTTATTGCCAGCATACGCATTGAGTGGCACGTGTCCGGATTTCAATTATATAAAGAGCTTAAAACACACACAATCCCATGGCATATGGCTCACGCAGAAGTACCTATATTTATATGCCGGGAAAAAACTGGGAATACACATTAAAGCGTTTGAAATTTAAATTGAAGAGCGTTCTAGACAAAACTTTTGCCCACCAAAAGCAAAACAAAGAAAAAGTTCACACACCCGCAATAAAAATAGCCTAAAAGGGAATGAACTGCTGGGTGAAAATGGGAAATGGGCTGTATAAGCCTAGCGCGCTAAAAACGAGGTGCTAAAGCAAAATCGTCTTTCCTTGCTAGCTAATCTTTAAGATTAAAGTCGGGATAAGTAGGTATTTGCTGAGGAGGATGTAGCATTTATGGGGAATAAATGCGAAACCCTTGAAGAAAAACATCTGCTGAAATACAACAAAAAGCCTAAATTCAGTCAAAAAATACGACAAAAATAACGAAGACGGGAAAACAACAGCCAGGGCTTTGTTATTAAAAGAGCCAAAATACAAAAAAAAAAGAAGAAAGCAGCCAGAGATGAAATGAAATCAAGTCGAGAACAGCGAACTGGCAGAGCACATAAATAAATATGCCAGCATATCTGCAGGGCAAAGGCGACGACTAC